CGAGGCTGAAAATTCGTAATCATCGAATGGTTAATCAGGCCAAGACTGCCGTCTCTTACTCAAAGTCTCCCGGCCACTGTCCAGCTCCTAAATTCTATCAACAAGTTCCCCCCTTTTGCTTCCGACTTTTTAAGAATCATGGATTCATCCAATTCACATTAACTCTTAAACCCCTGCAAGAGCAACTTGCATATTTTGCTCCCAGCCTAAAAAAAAGATGAACTGGTATCTAAAATCACCAAATCTAACTTGTTGCCGCTCAAAGAATCAACTGTAATAAACAAAACTCCGGCAGACAAGATCAGCGACGAAGCTTAATATACAACCCTAACATCTCAGGGGTCAGCTCATTGAGGGTTCAGGGAGGCTCTGGCAGATCCCTGATCCCGCTTGAATTTGGCAAGCTCTTCCTCCAGCTGGCGTGCTCTAGCACGTTCCTCCTGTTGATATTAGTTAGCAATTGCTCTATGCACAAGACAATCTGGGATATAAAACATACCTTGAGGCTCTCTTGGAACTTCTTCCTCTCTTCACGCATCGTGGCCCTGAATTGCTCACTCAGCATCGAGGCTCCTCTGCCAACACCACCATTTGGTGGGATTGCCTTAAGTCGTTCGCCATCAAGATCCTCTTGAAGCTTGGTGATATGCTCGCGAGCCTTCTCCATATCTACCTCGAGGCGCTGACGAAGTGTCGTAACCTCTCCTTCAAGAGTCTTCTTTGCCGATTGGACGTCCTGAAGCTTGTTCTCAAGCTCTATCTTTTCTCGTTCGGCACTGAGTGTCTCTCTTGTGACCTCCTCCAGCTCTTGAACAGTTCCAGCTAACTCATTCTTTAACCTTGTGAGCTGGTTCTGGAGCTTCATCACCTCGCCACTAGTCTTGATAGCTGCGACATCAGCGGCCCTCTCTGCACGGGATCCATAGGCTCCGTCCAGTTCCGCTTGGGCAATCGTGAGCTCCGTCTTCATCTCTACGAGGTTCATGTTAAGAAGCTCAAGTTCGTCCTCCTTATCTTTCAGCATCTTCTTTCTGGAAGCAAGCTCTTCCTTTTGGCCATCCACCCGTTGCTGCAAGGACCTGGCATTGTCTTCTGCCATTTGCTTGGATCGATTCACTTCATCGAGCTGCGCGTTGAGAGCATCGATCACTGAATCGACCCCAGTCAACTGGTTGCGAGTATTGTTGCTTGAAGACTCGGCAGCCGACAGCCTCTCTTCGAGTTGTTTGATGTCGGACTCAAGAGCTGCGATCTTGCTGTTGCGCTCCTCAAGTTGGGCTTGAGCAACCCCTGCAGCTCCAGCAGCTCCCGCCAAGTCTGCTTGAAGAAGTTCCATGTCAGACTCGAGATGGGTAACCCTTGCATTTCGTTCTTCAAGGCGGGCTTCAAGGTCATTTGCCTTCTCCAACTCGGCCTTGAGTGTAGAAATCGTCGCACTGTGCACCTCAACCTGGTCTCGTAGAGTATTGACTTCTTGAACCTCGGTGTGAAGAGTAGCAATCTTCGCGTCCCGCTCTTCGATCTGTGCATGAGCAGTACTGGCCTGCTCAAGCTCGGACTGGAGCGCTGCAATCCTCTTGTTTCGCTCCTCGATTTCACTCTGGGCCGTCTCCAGGTAGTCCAACTCTGCTTCCAAGGCAGTGATCTTGCTTTCGCGATCCTCGATTTGAGACTGCGCGGCAGCTGCCGAAGCTGCCGCGTTAGCAAGGTCGGACTTGAGCTGGTCGAGGTCCCTCTCAAGCTTGACAATCTTCTCATCCCGTTCCTCGAGTTGAGCGTGAGCTGCACCCGCCGCACCCGCAGCACCAGCTAAGTCGGCCTGAAGACGTTTCAGGTCTGCTTCCAGCTCGGCAACCTTCCTGCTGCTACCCTCAGCCTCAGCCTTCGAGGGGCCAGCGTTGTGCGCAACACTACGGGCACTTTCGAGTTCTTCAAGGGTCTCTGAGAGCATTGTCTGGGCAGTCATCGCATCTCTCTCAGCGCGAGCCAGTAGAATTTGTGTCTCATCCAACTCCTCTTGTTTCCTTGCCAGCTCTTCATCCTTCTCGGCGTCTGATTTGTTATTGAGCTCGCGCTGTTGCTTAATCTGTCGCTGGAGCACAGATTTCTGGTTCTTGAGTGTAGTGGCTTGAGAGTACAACCACTGAACACGATTAGAGAATCCGGGAAGGCTGAAAGCCTCCTCAATATCGAATTCATCGTCAGAAACTTCGTCATCCTCATAGCCTCTCTCCATGCGAGCCCTTCGACGCTCCTCTTTCTCCTTCTTAATCTTGGCGAAGCCTGTCTGCATCATATTCCACAAGTTCATCAAGATCCTCTCAACTTGGTCACCGTCCTGTTTCTCTGGTGGCCCGGCCTGAGCTGCCTGCACGGCGCGTTCTAGCTCCGAGTCGGCAGTGCGTAGTGCATCTTCAAGATAGTCAAGCTTCGTCTCAAAACTGTCTTGTGGTGAATGAGGTACGGCCGGGTAACTGGGATCCACTGTGAGGAGTAGATCTCGTGCTTGCTGGTTTAGGGACTCAATGCGTTTCTCGAAAGCGCCGTCAGTCTTGACGGTCTCGCCAGAAGACTCTTCCTGTTCGACCTCGATGGCATTGAGACCCATCTCAAGGTAATCCAACTGGTTGTTGAGGAGCTCTCCTGGCTTCATTCCCGAAACTCCAAATGGGGGATCATAATAGTCTTCGTTCTTGGAAGGATTGAAGCGAACAATCGCATCTCGCAAAGAGCCGTTCAAATTCTCGAGTCGTGCCTCCATCTCCGTTATCGACTTAACCAATGAATTAGACTGGCCCTTTAGATGTAGATTTTCATCCTTCATCTTCTCCATCTCGTCTCTCAGCTGATTTTGTTCCCGAATCGGTGATTTAAGGGGTATTTCTATGGGTTGCTGACGGGGTTGCCCTCTCGTTGAGACTCCATTGGCTTGGTCGTAATAGTCATTATCGTTGAAGTAGTGCTCGTCTCCGGCGCGATCCGTGCTGTTGCGTGTATAAGTATATAGGCTCTCTGGGCTGCCAGGCATGCCATTGAGGGGTTGAAGTGGAGGAGTGAGATCCTTCTTCTTATTCGAGGCCTTATGAGTGAGTTGAAGAATACCAGCAGTATGCTCCAGGAGGCGTCTTTGGGGCTCCATCAGTCGCTTTTCAAGGTTGAAGAGCTCCGCAGCCAATTCTTCACACTTCCGCTCGCTGGCCTGTCTTTCCGCCTCTGCTTCCTTTGCGCGAGCGTGATCGCCGCTATTACGACCTAGTAGACTCCTTCGCTTCCCATCCAGTTTTCCGGGGTTGTATAGCCTCGCCATCGAGATTGCGGCATCTCGGTATTTGGACTGAATGGTCAGGTTTTGCCGGGTTGACTCGACACGCTGGGATAAGGACTGGCTTTGCTTCTTGAGGTCGTCCACCTCTTCTTGCGACAGAATCGTATACTCTTTGCTATCAGAGAGGGCTGTTTCGGTTAAGAGATGTACCTGAATCGGGTCTCGGAGGTCGACAAGCGCTGAACTTTGCGGTCGATCAGGGTTCATCTGTACACAATAAAGATTAGAAGCCGCAGGTCCATCAGCCTCCACGACGGTGGACAAGAAGCGTACCGAATTATACAATTGATGATCCTTTTCAAAGCCGTTTATTATATCGCTGCGATAGCCCTCGACAAATATCTTTCCGCGTGGGCTTGGTGCTGGTGGTGACATCCTATTAGAGCCATACCCATACGGGCTGCCCTCTCGCGCGTATGCACTCATGGTTTCGACGGGCTTGGGATCGTGCTGTGTAGGTTATGAGGCATGGGGTAAAAGTCGGACTGAAGCAGTGCATAAAGATATCAAAACACCTCCATAGAGAGCAGTGAAAAGGCTGACAAGTATCCAAAGTTTGGACAAAAAAGTGGTTGACCGGGATCCGTGTCGTGCCGCTGGGTGAAGCTGAGCTGAGATTGGATGTAACAAAGGGGGCTTTGCGCCCAAGAGCCACTGAGGCTGGAAACCCGCAGAAAATCGACAGCAATAAAACAAAAGGGTCTCGAGTTACAACCTCAAAGAAAGAGTACAAAAGTTGTGAGAAACGATGCAAATGCTGGGGACAGAAAAGGAGAGGTCGGGACTGACCATGAAGAAAAGGAGGCCCATCGAGAACCCCAAGAGTAATGGAGGTAACTTAACTTAAGTTATCGAGTGGGACCTTTGTGAAGACCTCCACTGAAAGTTGAATTACAGCGGTTGAGCTAGTGGTCTAGCCGAGTCAGGTTGGTAGGTACGTACCGTACCTGCGTAGATCCCTTACCACACGTGCCAATGGACTTTCAGTTTTCAGGGGTTTCGCGGCGGCTGGAGGGGCGCACCCGCATTACTTAGCACGCTTAGGCATGGGTTTGGCAGCGCTAGGCTTCATAGAGCTCGCAGCTCTTTAACGATGCACCAGTAGGAATGCAGCTTTGTTTCGAGGGATTGTCATATTAAAAAGAAAAATAGATTAAAAAGAGTTTTGTTCTGTTTATACGATTGATCCGTGCATGAGGAAACATGATGATTCCTTCTGTAGAGTCTGAGCTGACGTGTCTAGAATCCTTTACTTAGACCCCAATGCTCCCTTCTGACCGTGGCATACCGTCACGTTGCGTGGCATTAATGGCTGTGTCCGATGATCGACGCAGATATGCTGACAGTCGATGGTGGGATCGTGGCTGACAACGCCATGGATAAAGTTGCTGTGAGCATTCTCCTTGGACGCACGGAAGTCCGTTAGTTTCGACAACTCAGACTCAGAGATGCATTCTATTTACAGAAAATGATATCCCTGCTCTGAAGATGCCCTACTCCGTAGACATTCAAGGGATGTCATATGCTCATTGGGCTGAAACATTCCCCGGGAGCCAAGGTATGCTCTTCAATATTGTACTGTAGTCCCCTATCCCGCAATTTTTCGGAAACCATTGGCTATTGCCCAATTGTGACAATGCGCAATGCTAAATATTGCTACCATACGTACCGACCACTAAAGCACTTCTCGGACTTGATCCATGATTTGTTGCCCCATCGTTCTCCGGCGCTCTGCCTGACCCTCCGTTGAAGCCTGAGCTCCGGTTGCGACAGCTGTTGTCGAGTTTTCATCCTCGAGTCGACGTCGAAGGCCCTCAAACTCGGCACTTCGTCTATGGGAGCTTAGTCCTACAACCCAGCCCGGCACTCGCCAGCGCACGAGGGCAGCCGGGAGAAGTCCTTCTCGCCACGAATATCCAACGATCCATCCAGTGGCTGCGCCCAGGACCGAGCCTGGCCATTGCAACATCGCAAGATGCAACGCAATGGCGTACTTGTAGGACTTATCCGAGAACGTGAGACCAACGAAGGGTCGGTCCGTTGGAGGTGCCTCAGACGTGGCAACTCGATACTTGTACATGTGCGGAACCATGGCATGATACTGGGCCAGAATAGCAAAGATGATGGGAGTTGGCCCAGCCGGGATGTAGTTGAACCATCCAGCAGCGAGAGGCCGCAGTACCATTGAGACAACAAGGGGTATGATGGAGGTAATGAAGAAAGTGACAGTCAAGAAGGACTGCGCACAATGCTATTAGTAATGTGAGGATGAACGTTTCTTGAAACCACTTACAGCGAATTTGCGAGAACCCCACATTCTCTCAACGATGCGAAGGTTGTATAACGACATGGCCGCAAAAAGTACCTCTGTTGAGTTGACATAGCATAACTGGTAGGCCAAGATTCTCCAGAACTGCCGGTATCTCCATATGTGGGTGTCAATGAGAATATAGAAGTAGTGCTTGACGTCAAGAACACTCGCAATGATAGAGCCAGCTACCAGGCCGACCACGCCGAGCCGAGTGGCAGGTGTATTGGTAAAAGACATGGTGAGGGGTTGTGTCGAGATTCAACGTGACATGCTATAGAAATAAGCCGACCCTAACTCCCGTGGGAAGACAAGGAGTTTCTATCGGATGCAGTTGAGATTTGATTAATTGCAATTAATGTTGAACCTTGCTTGGCCTTTGAAAAATGGCTAGTGTTGTAACGAGAGTGAAGCTATAGATGCAGTTCTCTGAGCTACCTTACCTATCCGCAAGGTGGCATTAACTATCACGTGCAGCTTCGGGTAACTATGGATCGCCCCGCATTGCCGTTGAATAGCCCGCTGACGTCGTTCTGACATTGATTTCCCATCCAATGACAGAACAGATCTTAGATGAAAGCAATTAACTCTTAACTTGATAGGCTGATCTACAACAGCAGTGTTGGTTAGGAAACAGAAATTGAGCGCCAAATCGGGGCTCCTTGACTCCTGGTTTTCTTTCTTATCGAACCTTTAGGACCCGGGGCTCTGTTCATGGACGTGCCGTGAAAGACAAAAACCAGGGAAACGATCCCCCTAGAACATGTCTCCAGTGGAAGCCGTGTAAGTAGCTACGATGGACAAAATACAAATTATACACTATATACAGATGAGATCGATCCAAATGATGAATTGCTGCCTGTTATTGTAAAATAGTATTCGATCAAGGCAGAAATAAATGGGCGATGTTGGCTGGAATTTCCCAAAAAACTCACGTGATAGTTAGATTACAAGTAGAGGCACTACCCTATATTGATAGTGATGCCTCAGGGACACTCACCTCTTCACGATGGAAAGGATTGTCTGTGTTGAATAATTGATCTATTCCTTGTAGTATCAATGCCCGATTAATTAAAGGTAGCCCGAATGCCAATAAAGGGATAATTGAATTAGTTGCGCTTGTTTGAATGACCTCACTTTATTTGTAATCTCTCTCTCTCTCTCTCGCAAGTTTGTAAAACTGGCTGTACTCATTCATCTTCATCCTTGATCAACCTCACCTCATCCTTACACCAAAAAAACACACCCTCCACCAGCGGCTCACGCGGATATGAATAAAGACTCAATCTTGTCGACACAAACATCGAAACTTGTGCGGATCCGTCTTGGGCCCAAGACTTTATCGCTCCCTCTGCCGGTCTCCCGCTGCTCATCACCGAAGCCCGAAAAAACAGGGCATTAATCCCGATCACGCCCTCCACTATCCCGTCACTACCACACTACCACTATCACTATCGACTCCCTGACATCCATCCAATTCAATTTCACCATGCCACTCGCCAACTTTGGCACCCTGGTTCTCCACCATCTCGTCTTTGTCGCGCATTTGGTTTATTTCCATATTGCTTTCTCGCATATGGAACCTAGCGCGCTCGTGGCTCTCTACTGCGTCTCCAAGCTACTCGCCCGTCGCGCCGACGACATTGACAGCCCTCCTCCAGAATGGCCCCCGCCAGTGATCCAGTGGTAGCCGGAGCCGAGCTGCAGCCTCCGTCTCCGTCTCCGGTCCCGCCATCTGGGTCGACGTCGGCACTGGCTACGGGTTATGAGTCTCCGTCTGAAGAGAATCCGCCCTTCTTCTCCGTCGTGGCCTCGGCTCCAGCTGCTCCAGGGACAGCACATTCAAGACATCATGTTGTGCCACGGCCGGCCTTGTCTCAACGGCCATCGTATATCACTGCTATACCTCCTGAGCATACTAATGGTCATGCCCGTCCAGGTCGATTGCTCAACAATGAGTCTACTCTCACTTCAAATAGCCTGAACCATGTTATCGCAACAGCTGAGAAGGGCCCCGGGAACCAAAAGGTTGGCATTCGAGATCGCATCGCCTGCTATCAATGGACCTATTTCACTATGGTATATCAACGCCTTGTCTCTCCGTTGTCTCTGGTCTCGCTAACTCTGGGATAGACCATGTCGACTGGAGGCGTTGCAAATATTATTTACTCATGTGAATACACTATCTCTAATGTCATGTTGCGCCCCAGAAGAAAGTAGCTAACTCTTGCTAGTGAAGTGGGAAGCACCTTGGCTCCGTGGCATTGGCCTCTTCTTCTTTTTTCTCAACATTGTCCTTTTTGCAATGAATTGTATTCTTATCTGTACGAGATTTCATCTGAGGCCGGGGAGTTTCGTGAACTCCTTCACAGACCAAGTTGAATCGCTCTTCATATCAGCTTCAGTAGGGCTCCCTCTTCTTATGGCATGCTATTAAAACTAATGACAGCCAGTTGGTCTCGTAAGCAACAGATAACTATTATCCGGGCTCAAACACATTCTAACAAACTTAGTATTGCTGTAATATTAATCAACACCTGCCAATATGGTATTCCGTACACCGGCATATGGCTGGTCCACACCATGGAGTGTGTCTTCTGGGTTTACGCTGCCCTGAGCGTCTCTCTCAGCGCATTCCTATATCTTATATTATGGTCTACTCTGTAAGCTCAAGCTCATATGCTTATCTGGCCTGGTCGGCTGACTATCATGGCCAGAATATTTCCCGTCCATACCATGACGCCAACTTGGGTCTTCCCAGCATACCCTCTATTACTCAATGCCCCCTTCGCAGCAAACCTGATCGCGGCTGCAGATTCAGCTGGTCACAAACTATCAACCAACACTGTAGCAATGGCACTCGGGGCCACTGCTATTCAAGGAACCGGTTGTTTGATCGCTTTCATGATTTCATCGGCCTTCATATACCGCCTCATGACGCAGAAGCTCCCGCGGGACATGCAGAGGCCCGGCATCGTACGCACGCTCTCTCTCCTGTTTTTCGACGTTGCTGACCCTTACAAGTTCATGTCTATCGGTCCCTATGGCTTTACAGCTGCTGGCATAGGTATGTTTCGAATGTCTTGCAAAATATGTATCATGTCTGACAACATCAGCTCAACTCGGCAGCCAAGCAGACTTGGTAATACCTCCAAACTTTCTTGACAATCCTCAATTTGGCGCTATCATTAAAGTCATCAGCATTCTCGTTAGCCTCTGGCTCTGGGGTCTTGCTATGTGGTTCTTCATAGTCTGTGTCGGCGCATTGTGGAAATACTCTCTCTCCGGCCATCATTTGCCTTTCCAGATGACATGGTGGTCTTTCGTTTTCCCTAATACGGCTCTCGTATGTAACCCTTTTCACCGCAGCACTTCTCACTGTATGCTCAATGGGTTTCCTCTAGGTTACTGCTACCAGTGTCATGGGTAAAATATTTGATAGCAATGGCCTGCATATATTTGCCTCTGTCATGACCGTTGCAATCATCATCGTCTGGGCTCTTATCTTTATCCGGATGTGTTGGAGTCTGAAATCGAGAAAACTTCTGTGGCCCAAGGATGGAAGATAGAGCATATTAGAGTGATTACAGCATGCCACCGTTTCTGTGCCTTTCCCTTTCGTCTCATCGAAACAGTCTTATTGATCAAGATATCAGTAGGTCTAGCATATCTGAGGTAACCAGGCCAGCATAAACCGGCGTCCGGTATCTTTAGCATAAGGGCAGTCATATCAAACTATTTATTTGAATTTAGAACCTCGCTACTGCGATTTGTCCTAAAGACACTGCTTGATCCAAACATCTAGTGGCATGACCAAGTCAACGCAAAGAAAATGCGGTTTATTTCCCTGACAGGAACTCCAAACTCTTTGACAATGCTGTTCATAAAACCGATACTTGCCATTGCGCGCCTCTCATGAAAACAACAACAACAATATAATCATCCAAGCAAAGATATCTTGATTCGCTCACGGGAATCTGCAAACGCCGCCAAACTCCATTAGCAATACCCCTGTACTAGTACATACAACCTCTCCGGCGTCTCCAATATAAATAACAATAAGTGAGAAGCATGGTTACTCTACAACTTCGCCTTGACACCTTCTCCAGCTGTAGCCTCGAGATTGACAGTTACCTCGCCTGTCTTCTCCCCATGGCCGAAGAAGATGACTTGCACAGTCAAGTCATCACTGAGAATCATTAGTAATATGCTATCCAACACCAATATCATAACTTACCGGTATCGTCGTGAGAAAGGCGAAGGCAGCGTGAGCAAAGCGCAGACCTGTTCGTCGTTGTTGCCACCAAGGGCGTTTCGGACAAGGTGTGTAGCCACATTATTATCCTTCACGGTGAAGCGATCCTTAGCATCCGGGTCAATACCCCATTGCTGAACACGGATAGGGGTCTTGTTGCCATCAGGTCCGGCGGTCTTGCTCTCCTCAACGGGTAATGGTGTTTTTGACGAGCCAAAGATCTTGTTCCATGCAGCATCAAACTGTGAGTTGGTTCCAGACTGTCCCTGAGTCTCAATCCACTTGCCTACAAGGCCGACAACCTCTTCATTGGTAAGCATCTCCCAGAGGCCATCGGTTGCCAGGACAAGGAAATCACCATTCTCGGGGTTGACCTTGGTGGTTGTAACGATAGGCTCGGCGGTAACATAGGGAGGAGTCTTTAAAAGAGGTGAAGGGCTGCGACCAAAGAAGTTCTCGCGCAACTTCCAGGCTACATCTCTGCTCCACTTGTAGACGGCGTCTCCAAAGGCACGACTAGGCTCTAATCCACCAAGAACACGGCCATTTCGGATGACGTTTTCCTCCCCAGGATGCTCCTTGCGCATGCGCTCAACCTCTTGAGGGTTGCTACCCGTCTGATCCTCTGATAGAGCAGTGGCTGTCCACTTTCCGTTCTGTGCCCTGCGACCAAGGACTGCGCGAGAGTCACCAGTGCATGCAACCCGTAGGAGGTTGCTGCGGCTGTCGTAGAATGATAACAGGGCACACGATCCTGATAGAGCGGGCTGTAGAATCTCGGCTGCGACAGTCTTGGAACCGCCCTTGAACACCTTCTCCACGCTCTTGTGGACGATCTCGTTATCAAGGTTGTTGAACCCAGTTTTGATGGCCAGATTTACTGCATCCTCAGAGGGAAGATCACCGGAAGCCTTCTTGTAGGTTTCGTTCAATTCGCGGGCGACGTAGTTAATCAGGCTTTCCCTCAAGGTTGCAGAAGTAGTCCATCCTCTATGTCGTGTGAGTCAACACCCTTTTTATAAACCGTGACACAAGCTCTATCACAAGATGAATGAATACTTACGAATGGCCGTCAAAAACACCCCAAAACATCCAATCGCTGTTATCTGTCTCGACAGAATATCTACTGGGGACTTGAACAATCTTCTCGGCGTGATCATCCTCGATTGGGTCGTTACTGGGCAGCTGTACCAGGTCGTAACGTGTGACACCCTGTCCTCGGCTGACGGAAAAAGACTGTTCGAGGCGACGAAGCTTCTGCGTTGCTTGGTCGGGAGTCAACATCTCGACAATGCGACGCCCGTCGTCACTAGTTGCCTTGGAGATGGGTCCCTCGCCAACAATGGTGCCTTGTCTAAGTTCGTCGGCGCCTACTACGAGAACAGTCCGAGTCGGTAATACATCCGCTGTCTGAGTCGAGGCGAGGCTAGTCCTAGAGCCTACAGCCGAGCCGGGTGTGTCAGAGCTGTTGAGAGAGTACCAGGCGCCGTATCCGACGACGATACTGGATACCAGCGCGACTGGCAGGCGACGAAAGTACATAGAAGACCTTAGGGGAATGGCACCTGCAGGGTTGCGGCGACCGCTTCGAGCGTGTGCGCTAGCCTTGGATCTTGCCTGGGCGAGAGTGAAGGACGAGACGGCGAAGCCACGACGAGGAGTGCGGGAGAGAGTGCGGACGGTCGAAAGTGAGGTCGTCCTTAAGGCTCTCACTGCGGCTCGATTCATCTGGACGACGGCGGAGGAGCTTAGGGCCAGGCTGGCAGAAGATTGAAGAATTGGCCTATGGTTATGAAGAAGAGGCAGAAATTGTTGATCTCTTGTTATCAAAGAAACAACTAAAATATCCGACGACAAAGTAGACACAGTCCAGTCAAGAGGTAACAGAAGGACGGTGATAGTGATCCAGGATGATGAAGGTGGATGGAAGCTAGTAGTGGGTCTGCGCGCTATCTTATCGCGACCATTCCCCTCTGAGATGGTAATTATAGCCTGAGGTGAAGCTTGCAAGGTCTTGAGACTTGAGTGACTGCGAAGATCGGAGCTTGATGATCTTGAATGAATACCTTACCTACCTAAGTATTTAATATTTACATGATCTGACTTGTTTGCCTCTTCTTTTCCCATTCATACAAAACATCTGCCTAGACCTTCTACTGCGATTTATCCCGAGTTCCCTCTCACACTCTCACACTCTCATAGTCACGTCTCATGTCTTTAGTCTAATCGGTCAGCCCCACGTGAACCAGTGCGATAGCAGCCGACCTGAGCTTAACTCACCTCAGTGTATAAACCCGACGTCTACCGAGGCCCTCGCTCTTCACTGCTGTTTCAGAGGCTCTGCGCTGCGTGACCCCTAAGTCCTGAATAGGTAAGTCAAGCCTTGACCAAGGTAGTAGTCCTGTGAGCTTTACCAACCCCGGATTGTCCTCTCACATGTTAGTGAGAACCCTTGCACACTATCACTACCTAGTAGTAACACTCTCTTGATGACATTGAACCCTCATGTCTCAGCTTCCGTGTTCATAAACTCATTGAGTGCCTGCAGATATCAATATTTACCCAATCGTCACCTCCTCCAATGGATCAACAGCAGGAGGCTTCATCAGCCCAAGGGTCACTCACGGGAGCTGACCGCATCAGAGCTCTGAAAGATGAAACTGCCATCTTCACTGCATTTGACACATACCCGTGGTCAAAAGATAAAAACTTTATGGTAACATTATATCACAGGATATCAAATGGTCTATAACTCGGTCACTGACATTGATCTCAGTCTGGTCTCTACGCTATTCTTGGCGAACCAGGCCAGCAAAACCCTCAAGCATCTCTCGCAGACATGGCCATCCACGCCCGAATATTCTACTATGCTCAGCGCATTGGTGTCAACATCGACTTCAGCGCCTACAAGGCGTGGCTTGCCAGTAATCCTGACTATCAACCCCCAGATGTTCTGCCTGAGGAATATCGTCAGCGAGATGCAGCCAATGTTTCTCCAGTGCCAGCCCTAGACTGGCAGAAAGCTGCACCAAAGACAGATCTATACATTGATCGGAAAACCGCTGCTGCTCAGTCTGGCTCACAAGATCAACCAAGTTACCCAATGGGATTTGCCGAAATGATTCAACTTATCCAAGAAGGCAAGCCTGTGCCTGGCATTCGCCAGATCCCAAACACTGTTGTCAGAGATCCTGTAGGTCCAAATCTGAGCGGCGACTGCGCGCCTACACTAACTTTGATACAGGCTGTGAAGCCAGTTGGAGCGAGAGCTGTTCCCAGAAAGCCGTGGGAAAAAGATACCACAGTTGAAATGCCTGCTCTCCCAGATCTACCAAAAGCACTCGACACAGAATTTCCCCCAGTACAGGACGATGTACCTGTTTCTTCGGCAGCTGGGGCTTCTTAGTTTTCAGAACGCCATGTATCAATATCATATAGCATCAATGGCGTTGGGAGTAGCGATCGCTGGCAAACATACACTTGATTCTGACGTTGGGCGGAACAAAATCACCGAGGTACTATAGATATGACGATGTACTATCACAGTATACGGGAGAGGGAAAAATTATAAGATAATAAAAGCATCAATCGTTTATTAAAAGATGTTTAATAACTACCGTGACGACTCGAGTGCTATAGGGAGACGCCGAAACCCAGCATCCGCATAGAAAAACAACATACAAATTCGTGAACTCTCCCCGACCTCTAAGGACATCCTTTCGGATCACCATCACTCATGCTCGCTGATTGACTGAAGAAGTGTGGCTCTAGTATCCCATTATTAGGCTCGTTCCCGCTCACCTTTCGAGTAGCAGCGTATGAGCGGTTGGATAAGAGAACCAGTCCTGCGAGGGCTGCTGTGGTGATTAGCATCTGCCATCTCCTCCATATTGCAAAATCGATAACCATAATGTGTCCAATGCACCCGAGCAGGCTGTAGCTAGCTGGGCGTAGGATGACGTGTGATCTGTAAATTACTTGCGCTGGGAGATGTTTCTTAAGAAAGGTCGACATATTCTGGTTTGTTGCGTGATCTTGACGAGTGGAATGATTGGTGATTCAGATAGGGGTTCCTTGACACGGATGAAAAAAAGAATGAAAAGAAAACAGGGGTAGAATGGGGGAGGCTCTGCATTACCAGCAGGCAGATGTCCTCGTCGATGTCAAAGATCGATGGGCAAGGTAGAAAGATTTTAGCGGTAACCATTGTTGTAGCGCGGCCCAGGTCCCATGCGTCCGCCCATCCCAGGGCCAGCGCCAGGACCAGGACGAGTTGCGACCGCGTGGTTGGTACAAAGCATACCAACTCGGGAGCCAAACTTGGAGCCTCGCAGTGAAACCATGTGCTTTCGGATGTGGGCAGCAACGATTTCGCGATGCTGGGGAGAGGCATTGTTCAGAATCCACTGAATAAGATAGTTACCGTATTGATCACTTGCAATGTCAATCAGTGGAATGCGAGTACGGTCACGACGACCTTCACAGACTCGGTCCAGGTAACGACCAAGGAATTCTGCACCTCCAATTTTGAGACACTTCTCAACGACCTTCGAAGCGAACTGGTCGGTACTGTACTCAGCGGCGTAACGAATAACATGGTCAATAGCTCGACTGCGATCCGGGGGAGCACCGTGTTCACAAATATGCTGGATACACCAGTTGCCAAATTGCCCATGGGCGACGATGTCAATGTTGGCAAGGACTTCTTCGATACAAGGGCGCTGTTTGTAAGAGTTAGCTTGCGACTTTGACGGTAAATGGGTGAACTTACCTTATCCTCCTCGAGGCAGTTTTCAAAAATGTTCTGCACGACAAGACTACCGGTCTCTCCCAGGGCAACCTCATGCCACATGCCCCTGAGAGCATCATTGACAAATTTCATGATTTGTGGGGGTGACTCTGTCCAACGCAGCTCAAAAAGCTTCTGCCAGACGTGGCAGGCATAACGGTGAATGACCGTCTCAGGGATTCGACGAAGAAGCTCGTGAACCATGATAGCCTTGAAGTTTTCAGGAACAGAGTCAAACGCCTTTTGAACGACGTGGCATCCGAAGGGATCCATAGACAGATTCAGCGTGTTGCCCCGAATGGCTTCCGCGATGTTGATGACTTGGTCAGGTGTCCCATGCTCAAAGCATCGCTGCACCAAAAAGTTGCCAAAGCGATTGATCATCAATGGATAGGCCTGGGCGACGATTGCGTCGACAATTTCGAACTTCTGGTCAGCGGTTCCGACCTTGAGCTTCTGCTGCAGGAAGATGGAAGCTTGTTGGTCGTTGTTGCAGACAATCTTGTCAACAATGTACTTCCAGTTGCAATTTACGTTGCGATCCAAAAGACGGCGATAATTCAGCGGCTCTGTCGGAGCGAGGTAGGTCTGGTCACCGGGCGCCAACACCTGTCTCGGGTTTAGCGTTCTGTGTGAGTACAACGCAGGCAAACCAACCTCATTCTTCCATCCAGAACCAGTGGTAAACTCGGAAGCGTGAGGTGAGAGAGGTGTTCCAGCAGGGTTGGGATATGGTGGGTACACACCCATAGGTCCTAATCCTTGGGGAGCGTTGGACGGTACTCCAGGCGCAGGACTTCCCATGTAGTCTGACTGATTCATGGGACTATTAAATCCTCCTCCGTAGCCAGGTCCGAATGGTTGAGGTGAGTTAAAACGGCCCTCGAAGCGGTTTCCTCGACGCCCGTAGTTCGATCGCATCATCTCAGTATCTGGGGTCAGGCGTTCACTTCGGTATCCTTCCATCACGGGAAAAGGCGTTCCGGTAGGTTCAGAACAAGGCTGGCTGAAGACACGCCCTCCGAGCCATTTTCCTGGTGTTGGTTCCATGACTGGTGCCTGGACTGTGTTGGCAAAAATTGGCTGATTGCCCCAGATCTCTCGAGTACGATTGAATGTGGAAGCGGACACGGCGTCACTGGTATCAGAGTGACTGTCGTCGGGAGGGCCCCAGGCATTCTCACGAGGGGGGTAAATTGGACCGCGGGTCCCGAAAGGGGGCACATCGGCTGTGGTTTTCACAACGCGTGTCTCGGCTAGTTCTTGATCAAGCTTCGAGATTTCGTTCTGTGCCTGGGCGAGCTGTAACTTCAGACGCATTACCTCTTCGCTCTCGCCGCGAGCTTCGTCCAAGGTAGCACTTGCAGGGCGTGTAGTAGGAGCTGTACTCGGGAAAGCATCAGTAGCAGGAGTGACGGGAAGAGAGTTGCTCGAAGATGCATGATCAAACGCTCTCGCATACTGGTTGGCTTCGTCCCTGAGCTTGTTGGCATCGTTTTGCTGATTCAGGGCAGATTGCTGCTCGGAGAGCTTTGCAAGGAGTTTATCCACAGGGTACACCTGATCGATGGTCGAGCTATCATGGCTGAGTTTCATCTTCTAACACGGTCAGCAATTTGCAAATTATACATCCTGGGCAGACGCTTGATTTCACCTTTGGAAGGCCTTGATTCGCCAACTTCGAAGTGGATAGAGCGGCGATGTTCTTCTTTGCAGGAATGCTCTTGCCAGTTTCCTTCTGCGTCCCGAGTTAGTAGGTTGTTCTTGAACGTCGGCAAGAAGAGATTTCATCAAGGGTGAACTTGATCAAAGAATGTTGATGTGGCAAAACTCTACTTACTGAGCCCGGGGCAAGTGGCAAGGGATTTGAGTTTTCAGCCTGCACATTGGCAGCGAAGATGGGGACAGTCCGTTCAGGAGAGACCCCAGTAGACCCAGCTGAAGACATGATGTCGCAACAATTGGTCCGAGCCTCGGCGAAGTGGTTTTGGTGATGTAGCAGTCAAATAAGAATTGTAGATGACAGAGTGAGCTGTAGGGAACACACGATGAGATAGTGAACGAGTGTAGATGTGTCAAGTTTGTGGTCCAAGAAGGAGTTGATTGTGAAAGGAAGAGAGTGTAGAGGGGAGAGAGTGAAGAGGAGGAAGAAAAGGAAGAGAGGATGGTGGTGAAGGAAGGGGAGGTTATTCACTGACGCAGATTTTTCCACGGGGCCAAGTTGGAGGGAAGTGCGGATGAAAGAAGCGCAGAAGCGGCAGGTGCCAGCAGCCGACAGTTAACAGCCTAACCACCAGCGTTCCTTCCACTTTTATTGCAAGTGTCAGTCGCAGCGGGCACCCGACTGACAGTGGAAGCAAATGGGGGCATATTATGGAAGAACCATGCGGCTTTACAGTGACATGACACCCTGAATTCTCGGATTCGTTCGAGCATACAGGGAAGTCAGTGTTCCGAATCGTGTACCTACCTATGATTCAGTCTTAAAAGACAGATCGATATATGCAGGACAGGCTATGCAACACATGGCGCATATGCCGACCTAGGTAAGCTCCTAACCTTGAGCTTGTATCGGAGGTGCTAGGTATTCTAGCTGGGAGTTCTTGCTTCAGCTAAGAGTTGATGTCAATAGGAGCTGAGGTAAGAGCGAAAGGAATAAACCAGATGCGAGACCTTGACTGCAAGCGACACAAGCTTAGAGAAAAGGCTTATGGTCAAGGAGATGTAGTATCAAAAAGCTCGCAGGCAACCTTGAAACAGTTTTTATTTAGCGAGATGGTGCGTGTTTGCAAATGCATTTGTTGCTTCAGTGCAAAGCATTTGTTCTTTGGCCGAGGCGTCACTGTTGGGTTATTCAGGAGTCATACGAAAGGCCTTCGAATTTGTTGGATATCTATAGTCGAACAGCCCGCTAGACTGATCATCGAGAGTCATAGCACAAAGGGTAGAAATTTCGAAACATGTTTGATGTAATGGGTACTGATACAAATGATTATACATACTGCGATACATGGCCACTTCGGGATCTATTTGCTCTTCCGGCCACCTTTATCCCTCGACCAAACTTTATGAGTCGTACAATTGGCGTATGAATTGTCACATCGTTCAACACTTATGATCCATGGTAAGGGGTCTCTTTGCCGCTAGGGCCAACATTGGAAATATCCTTGTCATTATTGTTTGATTTATCGCTTCTTGTGAGTAGGAGCTGTAGGATGTTAGTAGCTTTTCCCGGCATAGTACAATATACATACCTGGAGGCCCCTTCTTCTTCTTGGGTGCACTCTTTCCGCGGAGTTTGAGCCTAGAGATCACGTCGTCAGCATTTGCACATATCCTCGAGGTTCCCAGTATCTAGCTTACTCTTCAATGTACTCGAAGCGATCCTCTTCACCCTCATCCCAGGTAGCCAGTGTCGGTCCGAACTCTCGCTTTAGATCCTTGATCGTCGCTGTCTTTCGAGGATAGTAAGCCGCCATGGCCGGTCCTCTTAATCGCTGTCGTAGGACCTTGTTGCCCATGCGTACGCCTTCGGGATTGTATGAGGTCGCGAAGACCTGGCATTGCGCCTGCGAAATGTCATTAGGTGGACCTAAGTCATGTTATGGAGAGCCTCACCTTTACCAAGTCCAATATGCGCGCTCGTGGGACACTCATCGTGGCGTCTTTTGCATCAATCGTTGCTCCTGTTAACTTTTTTGAAGCTTGACTTGACGTCTGATGTGAAGTTGAGCAAAACACTTGATTGGCTAGAGCGGAGATCTAGTGGGTCTTTCAGAAGAGTACCTTGAGACCAACCAACTCCGATACCTCCACTCCATTGAAAATATTGGGCGCCTTCGACTAAATTTACAAGTTGGGATTCGATAAGATATCACATAAAACGAGTGCTTGTGGGATTTTCTACATAATCCGTGATTGCGATTCATATTATGCCTTCAACACTCATAAAGTGTTTATGAAAATTACATGTTATCAATGGCACAAGTGCCAGAAGACTTAAAATGCATTGACGAGGTAACTTATGTAGATGCCTTATGAAGCCGGGAAATACCTGAAAAGGAACTAACTGAAACTCATCTCAAATAAGGTAATATCTTAAAGTTGTCCAAGAAACTTTTATCAGTTATGGTTCAGATGCCAAGTTTTCTGCCAGCTGAGAACTCTCATAGCTGAATTGTGGGTCTTGTCTCTAAGATTTGATGGAACATCGAAAAGCACAGGACTTCCATTAACTTTTTTTATTCGCGTCGCATCATAACAAGAATCAATAATGTCTAAAAGGCCAAACCAAGATGATCACTGCGAAGAGTATGAGCCACGCAAGCGCGTGCAACTTGATTCAGGGAAAGCTCCTCTGACTGGTACTATTGCTACTGTCGCGCCTGGGGTGTCGCGCTGGACCGTGGCAGACATCGCTCCATGCCTACCACCTCTGCCACCGATAAGCCCAGAACTAGAGGAGCAGGTTTTCAGGCATCCTGGGCTGGGAGCGCCCAACTATGAAAGGCTGGAGTGGTATGGTGATGCGGCCCTCGAAATGATATCCACAGAGCTTGTCTTTGAAACTTTTGACTACCTACCCACCGGACGAAGTAGTCAACTTCGTGAACAGCTGGTCCGCAATATCACACTCGCGGATTATTATCGACAGTACGGCATGCAGTATAAAACAAAACTTCCCATGGATATGGGCTCAATGGTGGGTTTGATACATCGAAGCGGCAGAGACAAGGAGACGATCAAGATCCAAGGCGACGTTTTCGAAGCATACGTTGGAGCAGTTGTGAAATCGGATCCCCAGCATGGGGCCGCAAATGCCGTAGCTTGGCTCAAAGCACTCTGGGCTCAGACAATCAAGGAACAAATCAAGCAAGCAGAGCAGCATCGAAAAAACGCTTTGAAAGGCCAGCGATTTCTGGCTCGATCTTCTGCGGCTACAGCACCCACAAAACAGACAGTCACTACACAAGCCAAAACGGCCGCGGAGCCCAAGGCGCCTGCGTCAAACAAAGAGCGCCTTTCTCGAGCAATCGTCGTCAGGGGTATCAAACTTCGTTACGAAGACATGCCTTGCAACAAGAAGGATAAGAACCTCAATCTACCATTGTTTACTGTTGGCGTCTATCTGGATGGGTGGGGAGAGGCCGGGAAGCTGCTAGGTTTTGGGACGGCTCTCGGGAAGAAAGAAGCTGGCGAGAAGGCAGCGAAGTCTGTCTTGGACAACAGGAAGCAATTGAAGGTCTATGAAGCTAAGAAAGAGGCTTGGATGAAGGATGCGCAGGAAAAGGAGCCAGTTGCTCAGACATAATGCTGAATGAGAGTGTTCTGGAAACATGAAACCGAGTCACTATGAGATTATGAATACATTGCATAATTCCTCAAAGCATAGAGTAAACGAGTAAATAATGAATAACTCCATATTAAATACAGAGACATATGCATATACAATAAAAGACGGTAATATTCAGGCCAGCAAATGTCTATTCTCTGATCAGTTGGCACTCAATTCTAACCAAAGTCCACTTGTTAGTTTTATGCTGTTATTATCATGAAATCAGGCCGAGCTCCTGGGCAAGACCCTTTCCCATGTGAAATGACCCCAGGCCCAGACACAAGAGGGTATTGAGGGGAACTAGTTTACCTTATCCCTGGGGAACCTAGGAACCCTTTTCTAGTGGAGCCCGCCCTGAAAGCACATCCCCCGTGCCCGTGTTGGCGAGCCGGGAAGTGCGCCGAGGTCAAACATTTGCCGATAAACGGGCCTCCGCATGCTCTAAGTTAGGAGCAGATCTATCATCATCATCATCCAATTGCTTCTGATAGCATTAACTCATCTTAGTTCCAATGACCCTCTTATTTTCTATCCTAATGGAGTCATAATACACGGCGACTAGACTTTTTTCATTGCCTTCTACGTGTAGACTAATTATTTCTCTCTTTATTTCTTCCCATACACCCGTCATTTTACAATCAATTGCGAGCTTGTTATTCTCCTTTCTATTCGGGACCTTTCTCTTTGTGGGGTTCCGTTATCTCGGCCAACAAGCCGCGGTCCGGACGGCTCCAGGTCCGATAAAGGACCCCAGGTCGAAGGTTGAGCTTGAGCTCGACGCCATCGCCACCACCTCTGTCGGCCGCAATTTGCGAGTCGCGAGCCATCTTTCTTACATAAAACATAACCGCCAATATGGCGGACTCAGTAGGTATGTTGCATTTTTCAATTTGCGCCTAACATGCTGTACCACGGTGGCTGACGTGATGATACAGATCGCGTGTTTGTACACGCTCTCAATACTGTCAAAAAGATACCCAAGACTGGCGCATCGAGACCACCTCCAACCGATCGACTCCGGCTATATGGACTTTATAAGCAGGCTATGGAGGGTGATGTCGATGGTGTAATGGAACGTCCAACGGCCGCCTCCGGAATGGCTTCCGACGACCTACAGCGCGAAAAGGACAAATGGGATGCATGGAATCTGCAAAAAGGACTTAGCCGAACAGAATCCAAGAGAAGGTATATCGAGGCGCTGATAGATACGATGCATCGATATGCGACCACGCCGTAAGCGCTCTCCTGAAGCCCAGCCTGGGCCACGGTACGATCGGTTTACACTAACACAGTTTCCCAGGGATGCCGAAGAACTTGTGTCAGAACTCGAATTTGTCTGGAATCAGATCAAGAACAACAGCCCAAGCTCATCGTTATCGTCGCCACGAGCGAATCGATCGGCCGGTGCATCCCAACCATACGAAGACGCTGCGCAAGGAAGCGATGCCGAAGGCCCTATGAAGGAGATCAGACCGATGAGTGAGTACGACGAAGCGGAACTCCGGTCCCAGAAGCAACTAGAACTCGAGGACGATGATATAGATGGTACGCAAAATCACGATCGAGTTAGTGGCCGGTGGCAGCGAAAGGTCGAGCGTGCCCTGACAACCATGTCTGCCGAGGTAGCTGCTTTACGAGAACAAATCACAACAGGTCGAGAGTGGCGGGCAAAGAAGGAGCGCAGCTTACCAGCTTGGGTGAAGTGGTTTGCCTGGGTGGTAGTGAAGCATCTGTTCGCCGACTTGGTTATTCTGACTGTCGTGTTATTATGGCTAAGAAAGCGCAAGGACCGTCGCCTGGAAGATCTGGTTAGGGCAGCTGTCAGGCTTGTTAGGGAATATGTTCGAAATGTGTTGCCTTCTCGAGGGTGATGGTTTGGGTGTGTACGATCCGGCGACAGCACTTCTCGAGGTCACTCAGCATGGTAACGATTATCAGGCGCATATCACCAGGGCACAAACACTACCTCTCACCATATTGGGTAGTTGACATGGCTCTGTCGGGCTACTAAATGATTATTGCTCTCGGTGTATAATCATAAGTATCAGGCGCTTCATGGAGTATGGGATTTATCATTGTATTTGTAACAAGAGAAGCGTGGTCATTTTGTATTTTGCAGTATGTATCAGGTAGATATTGGCATACATTGGATGGATGGCACTTGTTGTAGAATTTGAAATTCCCCAGCCATTTATCAATATGAGTATGAGACGTTGTTTCATGATGACTGAATATTGTTTAAGCCAAAAAAAGAAAGAAAAGAAAAATGAGGCTCAGCTTAACAGACGGTTTCCGTAGCTTATTTTTACCTTCACTTTTGTTACCTAGGTAGATAAGGTTGCCTACCTGTCATATGCAGGTACAATCGCAATACAACAAACGCTCCAATATTCGCCCGTCAAACCCACCTACTCACCTCCAGCATCATCAGCCTCAGTGCAACACCAACTGCACAAACAACCACAAAGTTTGCCATGTCTCATCCACCATTCCACTAAAAACTCTTAAAATAAAAGCCATGGCGCAACCTCCTCGACCTATCCCGACCTTTGACCCTCTGCTGGGGGTTTCAGACCCTGAAGGCTATCCCATCATCCCAAGGCTGGTGTCATGCGCGTCGGCCATTTTCTGCCCTATTGGCGAGGACGACAAACTCAAGGATCCTCTCAGCTCTTCCTCACTCACCAAGCTTGACTGCCTGCAGAAACAACTCGATGCTCTGAATACTCACTCGGTCAAAGACCGAGAGAATTTCCTCGCCCTCGCTGTTCGCGAGCGTGAACGCATCTTTCAGGAAGGGCGCCGCTTTCATGCCCTTGAAGAGCTGCAAGGCGGCCAGGTAAAGCCAGACGTGCCGCTCGGCCTTACATCCCAGGAACTCGGCATCATGGTTGCAAACATGGAGGCTCCAGCAAGGCCAGGTATCCCAAACACGGAGAAGATCCCAGCACCAAATCTTGACTCTTCTAATGCTCGATCATTGCGTGAGCGCCAAGCTTACGAGCAGATGCGTAGTGTGGCTCATTTCTCACAGATGGCCGCGCATCGTGAGGCTGAAATCAACCGTCGCCGCGAGGCCCTCGAGGCAGATATCAGAAAGGAGCAGCTTAAGCAAGACCAGGAGCGTCGAGTCAACTAGAAGTCGGCTCGTTCACCGGGACAACAGCATGCCACAGCTCAAAGCATCAAGTATGTCAATGGGGCATCACAAGTCAACCACGACAAGGAGATGTACATGTTCCTCACGAACCCGAATCGCAAGCGAAAGCTGCCATGACGAATCATTTAACGATGTGCGCGTCGTAGTGAAGGAATTAGGTATTCAACTCATCTACCTTCAGCCTCCATCCGACGTCCTATATGTACAGATGCTACGAACTTCCCAGACGCATAAAAACAAAGCAAATATTTCTATTCTTTTGCAGCCACCACCTCATACGCCGTACTCGACCTGGCCCATGGGCTTATCCTCCTCCATACCAGGAGCCATAAAGTTTGTCCTAGGGTCACCCGTAGCCTTAGCCGCTGAGCAGCGAGCCATTGTGGGAGAGCTAGACATAATGTTAGCAGGGGAATTCACGTTAATTATGAATCGATTTCACATACCTTCGTGAGATAACATCGGTGAAGTAAAAGTTGTCGATAACCTTCTTGAGAGGTGTTCCAGTCACCTGGGCACCCTTATTCTGGTCGACGAGCTGGACCTTGCTCAGAGCAGGGAGAGCGACGGGCTCGACAACGTCATAAGCAGCCAGAGCAGGGCTGATTTCAACCATACGGTCTCGGACCATGGCGACATCGTCATAAGGTAGAGGGGCGCCAAGGAACTCGCTGGCAGCTCGGAGAATCTTCCAGTCAGTTCGAGATGCACCGGGGAGGGAGGTAGCAGCTCGTGTCATCTGGACACGGCCTTCGGTGTTGATGTAGGTACCAGCCTTCTCAGTATAAGCAGCACCGGGAAGGACAATGTCAGCAATCTGAGCACCCTTGTCACCGTGGTGACCCTGGTAGACAACAAAAGCGTCCTTAGGGATATCCGCCTCGTTCACCTCATCAGCTCCAAGGAGCCACACGAACTTGGGCTTGGTTTGGGCAACCTCAGCAGAGGGGGTCGTGAAGCCAACCTCGAAAGCACCGGCACGAGAAGCCTCACGCTGAAGGACGTTGTAGCCCTGCCACTCCTCAGTTCGGAAGTTAGAAGCATGCTTATCAACGAAAGCACCAATGGTCTCATAGTATGCCTTGGCATCTGCGTGGTCGGTAACACCAGAGCCAACAATAATCATAGGTCGCTTGGCGTTCTTAAGAGTCTCTCCAAAGGGACCAGAGAGGGCGGACTTGAGAGCAGCGTGGTCGGTGCCAAAGTGCTCGAACTCGAATGTGGAGTCCCATGTCTCGCCAACAACACCGATCTCAAGGTCGGATCGGAGCCACTGCTTTCGGATACGGGCATTGAGAACGGCAGCCTCATGTCGAGGGTTGCTGCCGACGATTAGGATTGCATCAGCCTCCTCAATACCCCAGATCTGAGAGTTGAAAAGGAAGTTGGATCGGACATCGACACCGTGGGCGATAGGCTGGCTGCCAGTAGGGGTATCGAGAGCCAGGTTCTCAGAGCCAAGCTTGTTAGCCATGTCCTTGGCGACAACCAGAGACTCGACCTCAGTAAGAGCACCAGCAATAACCTTGAACTCGTTACCCTGAGGGTTCTTAATCTGATAAGCACGGCCAATCTCAGTGAGAGCCTCCTCCCAATCAGCAGGCTCGAAGCGGCCCTCGCGACGGACCAGAGGCATGGTCAGTCGCTGAGTCTTGAGGCCGTCACAGGCAAATCGGGTCTTGTCGTTGATCCACTCCTCATTCACATCGTCGTTAAGTCGGGGCAGAATTCGCATAACCTCGAGACCACGGGAGTCGACACGGATGTTGGAACCAAGACCATCGAGAACGTCGATAGACTCGGTGTGCTTCAGCTCCCAAGGACGAGCTCGGAAAGCATATGGCTTCGACGTGAGAGCACCAACGGGGCAGAGGTCGATAACGTTACCAGACATCTCGGAGTCCAGGTTCTTCTCGAGGTAGGTGCCAATCTGAATATCGTTGCCACGGCCAGTGGAGCCCATCTCCGGAGCTCCGGCAATATCGTTGGAGAAACGAATACATCGGGTGCAGTGAATGCATCGGTTCATCGAAGTCTTGATCAGGGGGCCAATGTTCTTGTCCTCGACGGCTCGCTTGCCGCCAATCTCGTGGAATCGGCCTCGGTCGGCTCCGTAACGCATAGACTGGTCTTGGAGATCACACTCACCACCCTGATCACAAACAGGACAGTCGAGGGGATGGTTAGCCAGCAAAAACTCCATGACACCCTCTCGGGCCTTATGGGTCAGAGGAGAGTTGGTCTTGACAACCATTCCGGGCTGTACGGGCCAAGCACAAGAGGCAACGGGCTTCGGGGCCCTCTCAACCTCCACCAGACACATTCGGCAGTTACCGGCAATCATAAGCTTCCTGAAGCATTGTCAGTGATGAATCGATCGTGGGAGGATTCGAGGGTATCGTACTCGTGGTAGCAGTATCTAGAGATAGTTAGCTAGGCTATTCAAACTTGGCACGAACCGTCTTGACATACCGAGGGACTGTTGATCCCGCCTTCTCGCAGGCTTGAATAAGAGCAGAACCAGCTAGAATTCCGTCAATATGCGCCCATTAATACAGCCAAACAACCCGTCATACCTTCAATCGAGACCTTCTTTCCATCTAGTACCAAGGTTAGCCTCTACATCGTCGTCAATGGCTCTATGCACAAAGATGCTCACCAATTGTCAGCTCCACCTCGGCCGGGCGCTGGCTTGTCGTCGCGAAGGTTCGCGAGACATTGACCGCCCGCCGGCTCGTCCGCCAAGCCGAACGTGCTAGAGTATTTCGGAGCATCGTGTCGCCTTGACGGAGGGAAGATGAAAAGGGTTGCAAGGTCGCTGGCGGCGAATATATGCTCAGTCGTTGACGTCTTGAAAGGGAACCTGCTGTTCGGGTGATGGATTTAGTGGCGCTAGCCTGCGATTAATTTACGTTAATGCTCATTGGTCAGTGTCGTTTTCTGTTTGCCTCAGGCCACAGCGCTGGATCCTACCTCATATTTTGCAATTTGCAGCTGGAGCTTTTTTTTGAATTTTTCTTCTTCTACCAAATTAATTGTACACGGGCACACTTTATTGTAGGTGAGCTTGCGCAACAGATCTGCTCCGGCAGAGCTGTTGCTTCAGTCGAGTCTTCCTCTATCTTGTGCTCAAGATTGATATTCACGCCGTTTATGGAAGCATGGGAGAGTAACCAATCTCCATGACCGCTGCCTCTTACCGCCGGTCGTTACATACCACCAACCAAATACTTAGAGTAGTTGTAGATCTTGCATGAACCGAAAAGTGTACGTGTCTCCATTTTGGGTCTATGTGGTCATCTATGAACTGCAGCTGCATTGCATGGCCCGCTCGGTCTTTGGGGGGTCATCTGTCCATCGGAGCTCCTCATCCTTATCGCCCTTGTACGTCTTGCCATCGAAGGTCTCGCCATCCCAGCGATCTTCAAATGGATTGAGAGACATGTGCATGACGCGGTTCAACACATCTCGTTCGCCGTCCTTCTCAACGCGTTGGATGAGCTCATCAAGGATCCAACCGCGAGGAACGAAGTTGGGGTTCACTCGCTTCATCGCCTCGATTCTGTCACTGTCTGTAGACTCTGAGACGTCCCCTCCCTCGTCCTTCCAATCTTCGATAATACGCTCGCGCCAGCTTTCGAGCCAGATCGCGAGACGCGCTCTGGCATCCACTTCGGAAATAGTCGTTGGGGGCCCTTCTTTGTGGAAGAAGACAGACGCCTTCTCGTTACGTGCTTCTCCCGTGGCGATATCCTGCAACTTGATCTTGCTGAGACGACGAAAGAAGTGGTGAAAGTCAAGTTCCAGGGCCTCCAAAGTGTCGAGAGCCTCACTGAAGAGGACATCAAAGTCAGAATCCTTGTGCGTCTTGAGACCCAGACGAGCAGTCATGAGTCGTTTGTACTCCGCAAGGAACACTGCCTTGTACTCTTCTCCAGCCTGTGTAATTAGCTTCTCGGCCCTTGCCACTACTTCAGCCTCTTGCTCTTTGGTAACGCCTTCGTTAACAAAAGTTGAATCGTCGACATTAGCGCCTGCGCCCATCAGTTCACCGACCGCCTCGCCAAAGCGAACGAGGTTCCACCAGATTATGGTGGGTTGGTTTCTGTAACTATAACGAAGGGTGTAATCATCATGGTTGGGTGTATATGCAGGATCAAAATTGTCCATGAAAGCAAATGGACCAAAGTCTATTGATAGACCGTAGACCGAGGTGTTATCGGTGTTCTGCTATGGGTCAGTAGGGTTTCTATCTCAAAGTATGAACAACTTACCAAAACGCCATTCATAAACCCATACGCTTGCCAGTGGGCCACCACTTTGGCGTTGCGCCGTACAACTTCACGATATAATCTCGTAAATCTGTTCTCTTCAGAACCATTATCTCCTTCAATAGTCTCAGAAGAAACGCCACGCTTGGGATCCAGTGATTTAACAGGCTCATCGGGGTCTTCAAGTCGACCTGGCAGCTTATCCCAGCCACCAAATACATCCTCGGCGATGTATGTGGCCAGTTGTCTAATAAGCTTACGGTCTCCTCTAGCTCGAAGGATATCAAAGTTACCAAGACGCAACCATGACTGTGCAAAGCGCAGAACGATGGCGCCCGGCTCGATCGTCTCTCGACGAACCTTTGAGTCTGGCAGAAGCGTAAGTGATAGAGCTCTGGTAGTTGGGATCTTGAGGGCATTGAGTGCTTCCGAGACAATAAACTCTCGGATACTGGATCGTAAGACAGCCTTTCCATCAGCGAACCGTGAGTAGGGTGTCATGCCAGCACCCTTGAGTTGAAGCTCATAGCGCTCACCAGAGGCAGGGTTGGTGGTCTCAAAAAGAGAAATAGCTCTGCCATCACCCAGTTGGCCAGCCCATTGTCCGAATTGAAAGCCTCCGTAGCATTGAGCCCAGGGATATCCGCCCTCGAGCTTCTCTTCATCCCAGCCATATAACTTGTTCCCAGCTACCAGCTGTCTAAAGTCATCGGTAGACTCTTCACCAGACTTGATTCCCAAATCGCGCAACGCAGCTGGGCTAATGGCCAGGAGCTCCGGATCCTTTTGCTCGGCCGGCCTGACCCATGTGTATACGGCATTGCGAACTTGACGAGGTGTAATCTGATCTCGAGGAGTTTTGTGGGAGTCGGCAGGCGTTGGGAAGATGGAATCGGCGGGAAGAGATTCGGTAAAATGCCATGACTTGGGAAGATCCGCAAGTGCCACGCCTTCGTAGCTAGACGCCGGCGATAATGCGCCATTGCCGTTAGAAATATGGGCAGCCATTTGCTTGAGTCTTGGTAGATGTGATGCTGGTGGTGAGCGCGGGACAGCTCTGCGTAGGGCGTTGCGACAGAGCATCAACGGCGGGACGATATGTTTAGGGAAGAGATGGGTTTATAAGGAGTGTGTAAGGATTTGGAATCATTTATGTAGACATCAAAGAAGGCGACATTTCAATGGTTCATGGCGATGTAACAGTGTTTGGCTGACAAAAGTGGCAATTACTGACGGTTATCATCGTTTATCTTGACATCACCTCTAGTTTCCGCTCCGGGGCCTCGGTGCCGCCCCGCGATCCAGATCCAGACCCAGATCTGACAGGACTGACTTGACTCTTCGGTAAAGCAGGCCCCGGTTATTCGGACGCATGTAAGACGGAGCCGGGCCGCCATTCAACTTCATTTACATGATGTAAGAGAGTATGTGGAATCAAAAAGATTACGATAAATCAATGAAGTTCAAGAGACTTGCATTGGCCGATCGCTTGACCGGTCCCAAGTTGACAGGCTACCCTATATCATCTGCCAGTTGCTTGACATGCAATTAGAACGACATGGACATTGCTCTGTTATTCATAGCACATCAAAATCAAAATACGAACTACAATACGTCTCAGTTGGTGGCTACCACTCGTAGTCAGTCCCAATGGGCTTTGATTCTACGAGTGGATAGGCCTTGTTTCATCATTGACGCTCTCCAAGGTGTTCGGGTCATCCGTATAGAAACGCCTCTCTATCGAACTCCTAACCCCCCAGATCAAATTCTTCAAATGGCGTGAAGGAGATGTTGTCAGAGACCAAGCCCTCCATTTTTTTATTAGATATCTCGTCCGCGAACCCAAATAACCGAGAGGTAATTTAGAATTCGGAACCTTGCATCAGAGTTAAGCCCTAAATTTAGGAGCATTTCGAGAGAAATCTTGATCATCATATCATATTGACTGTAACTCGCCCAGCTAAATCAAGCCACTACTACGCATTACGTCTATCTGACACGAAACGACAAACAGACCACTACGTCCTCCCCTAGGACCTGTCGTTCTCATCAAACTTGTTCCTCCAGAACCCACGGAAATGCTTCTTGGCACCAAGTCGAGAGATCTCTGCAATCTCATCCTGTGTCAACTTGAATTTAGGTAGCTTAGCCAAGTATCCCTCGAGTCGCTCAACCTTGTTGCTTGTTGTAAGCGCAATGATGTCTTGGTCGATGACCCATCGAAGACCGACTTCACTCTCTGTCACGCCGTACTTCTCAGCCAACTTTGCGTAGAAAGGGTCTACAGGCCCTCCCTTAGCAGTGACAATAGGAGTAAGGGGGCCGTAAGCAGAAACAGCAATGTTGTGCTTCTTGTGAAAGTCAACAAGATCGCCGTGCTGGAGATACGGGTGGTACTCAATCTGGTTGATAGCAGGCTTGATCTTGGCGGTCTTGAGAACAGCCTCAAGGTGCGACTGGAGGAAATTGGAAACACCAATAGACTTGGCCTTGCCAGATTCCTTGATCTGCTCTAGCTCGGCCCAACGCTGCTGCAGGTCCTCATCGGTTTCGGCAAACCAAGGGCCGTGAATCAAGTAGAGATCCACATACTCCAGACCCAGCTTCTGGAGAGAAACATTGAAAGAGTCAATAGCAGAGCCCTTCTTCTCAGCAGGGATCTTGGTGGTGACATAGAGCTGTTCCCGAGGGACACCACCAGCCTTGATGGCTTGCCCAAGCTCCTCTTCGTTGCCATAGACTGTAGACTTGTTAGATGTGGTCACAGCTTGGTACTCTGTTCTGCTCACCTTCGGCACCGTCCAGATGGCGATATCCAGTCTTGATAGCCTTGGTAGTGATGTCGACTACATGCTGGTCGAGTCCACTCTGGGGGTCTTTCTTGTACTGAGCTGTTCCCAGACCGAAAGCTAGCTAATGATTGTGAGTAATGTTCCGTATCGAGGATGATTTGGCCTGCTCATGGCTCTCTCGGAACCCAAAGAGGATAAACTTACAACCGGAATCTCATTGCCGTCATTGAGTTTGTAGGTGGGGACATCCTTTGTAGCGACACTGCCCATTTTGGCGGTATTTCACAGTTTTGTTGAGGGAGGAATGTGTTTCAAGTATAAATTAATTAATTGTCAGAAGTTCAGAGTCTAGAGCGAGAAACTTGGTATGAAGAAGAGTGATTGCCACGGATAGCATGTACATTGCCGTGTTGGTTTAAATAGGTGGTTCCCCTTCCTTGTACTGATACCTACTTGATCTCCTCCCCCACCCTCGGGTTTGATATGGCGATTTACGGCGGGCCAATTCCGTGATTTATAACGACATGTATGAGGATGGGGTAAAGAGGAGGTGAATCACTACGTAGTGACTATTGCCGTATTATTAATATGAAGTGGGTTGCAGAATTCACGCAATTATAATCATCAGTAGCGAGACCAGACGTCGAAGACGTTGATCTAGATCTGGCTGGTCACACTCGATCGTAAATGAGGAGGGCATTCGACCCTTGTTCTGAGATGCTCTCGAGAGACATATCCCATATGTTAATAATGCTCCAATTTAAAAAACACTTACAAGTTATTGATACTTATTGCTGGTACGTATGTGTTCTTTATCTTGCCCACCTTGGGCGACTACGTTTTGCTTTTGAGTTGCGCTATTGGATAACTTGATATAAGCGTTAACTTAGTACAAGCGTTAAAATACCATTGCTGAATTTATTTTGACACTCGATATCAATGCCGTGTTTCTAGATGTGAACCTGCAATGCATTCACCCCGAGGCTCGTGATCCTAACAAGTGAACCCCTGTATACCCAATAGCGCAGGATCGATTTAAATGTTGGGTAGCTCTATGGCAACTCGCTGGCGCCCTGAGTCTCATCCCTCTAGGCTGTCTGGCGCCACACACTCTTCATCATGTTGGTAGCGGGCCATGTAGCAATAGCTGCGACCATAAGCTCTGGCATAAGCCCTTCTTCAGTGCTCCAGTGAGCCGACAGAGGCATCCATGGAAGTGTTCCAAGGACCTCAGCCTTCCAGTTATTCTTCCACTCCTCCTCAGCAGCGACATCGCCGCTTGTCGCTCGGCGCGCACGTTCAACCAGCAAACGGACGAGCTCGAGGGCGACCCACGCGCACCATGAGCGAGCAGCCATGATACCTAGCTTGGCGCTCGTCTTTGGCGACAGGTTGGTAGCGCCCTTACAGGTCAGCCAGCAAGCACCTTCGCCAATGTTGTAGACCAAGTTACAAATGATCTGCACAGTCATGAAAGCAGTGTTGACTCGGTTGGGAGCAGGCACTTTGGCACCATTCGCATCGAGTTTTTGACCACGTAGACGAAGAATCAGATCTTTGGCCTCGAGATATGTGCCGATGATACCCCACATACGGTTCATAGTGCGCCACTCACCCAACATGTTGGTGAAGCCCTGAATGTACTTGGACAGACTGAGGGCTAGAGTAGCAAGAGGCGGCGCAGTCGCGGTAGAGAGGACGACTGAGGTCGAGGGCGGTAGCTTGAAAGCCATCTCGACGACCTTGCGAGCGGAGTGACGAAGAGTAGTCCGACCCAGGATGTTGAGAATGGCACCGATCAAGCGAGCGGTGTAAGTTGTGAAGAGGAGGACAGTATCTGTGCCTCTTCGCGTCTGAATGACGCGGTTGAGATGTTCGACGAAGTCATCTATGGCAGATGGCGACTTGAGGAGTCGCGCGAGAGGACTAGACTTTTGTGCGACATTTTTGGTTTTGCTGTTGATGTCGGAATTGGAGTTGGAGTTGGAGTTGAGGCTCTTTTCGATGGGCTCGGCCGGAGGTGCATCGGCGACGACGGGCTCCGCTGAGGGATTGACGATAGCCTCGGCGGGGGACTCAACTACTACAGCTGTTTCTGTTTCTGTTTCTGTCATGGCGGCGGGTGATTAGGGAGGGAGAAGCTCACGGTGAGCATCGAGAGGAGCAAAAGAAAATAGAATAAAAATATGTAATGAAAATAACGGAAGACAAAAAACTTGGCAAATGGAGGTCAACGGTAAGAGGTGCTTGGTTCTTCATTACATTACTTCTAAGGTTAGCGGACTCAGGGACGACGTGGGGACATACGGAGTAGATTTTTATCAATCAGTACATCTCCCATGTACCTTTATGCTCTTTTCGCTGAGTTGACCGAGGCCGCAGGTGAAAACTCCGTAATCGTCAAAGGACCCGTGCCTCGGTAGTGGAGTTGCCCGGGTGAATGTGATTCGTGCGTAGGCCCGAGATATTTGCTCGGTAGTTTATGTCACTGCAAATGCTGCGTAAGGCATGCTCAATACAGAAAAGACGGCGGCACTTTGTTGCATCAATGACGACTGAATGCGTACGGAAAGGCGTGACCTTATTTGTTCATGATCTGTCTTGCAACTTGGTATCCATGCTATGAGGGTAAACTATACATATACAATAGTGGTTTGCCGATACCGGCCGCGCAACAACCAACAGATTAAATGTATATACATTAACAAACTTTGGAGAACACAATACACAACGCTGTCCCGGCAAACTGTCATCAACCATAATTCAAAGCTCATCGTCAGATTCAGTGTCACTCCCTGCAGGAGCGGGTACAGGTGCAGCCTTTGTCGACTTCTTTGTCTCGAACGGCAGAGCTCGCGGTGGCGGCGGTCTCTCGCTCTCCTTGGAAGCAGTCTTTCCCCGTGAAACTGTGTCTGGTGCCTTGTTTTGCTGAGGTGGTCTTGAGTCGAGGCCATCGTCATCGTCGTCGCTATCACCAGATGCCGTCGCTTCTGTGGTGTTTCCGGGATCCGTATCCACGGCCTCCTGCTTAAGGTCGACGCTCATCGTGTCAACAGCATCATCGTCCTCTGATTCTTCAAGTCTTCTTGATGCGGGAGCCTTTCTTTTCGATGCCCTTGACTTGCCAGCTTGGCGAGTAGGCTTCTTTGGTTTCGGTTGCTGAATCGAGTCTTCCACAGCCTGGGAACGCTGAAATTGGCCCGCTATGCTTGGATTTGTTGATAGTATATTTAATGCTTGCTGCTGTTCGCGAATCTTGACCTTCTTCTCGTTCAGGAGATCCCTGAACTTCCTGAGCAACGCTGTTTCATCCTCCTCTTTGGCTTTGATTAACTCTTCCAGCTGTAACTGGAGCTGGGCCACAACAGCATCCGACTCGGAGGATTTTGCCGACAGGTCTGCCGCAGTTTGTTTACTTGAGGCAGAGGCCTCGACCGCTACACCACACCAATCGAATAACTCAATGGCCTCATCTGGATCATGATTTAGGGTGATTGAGCCCAGACGTTGCTAAGACGGTTAGTAAAAAGACCATGTTTTAGAATGGTATCATGGTCTTACAGTGATACCCTGTATGTCCTTTCGAATGGTGATTGAGATGAACTTTTCGCTCTGGACCGTGGCGGTGGCTTGAATATCCAGAAGGGGTTCCTGCTGAAACAAGTCTTCGAGAATCCGCTGCCATTCGCTGTCTGAAACAGGGCAATTCTTCACACGGAGAGACACGACTCTATCATGTTTCACTATCGACAAAGTCAGATTCAGGGATCGAAAAGTGATCACGTTCGCGCCAGTACTGGAGATTACAGAGACATGGGTCTCCCAGATTGCGATGTTAGAGGGAGAGTAACGGAAATGACTTACAGGATGCAACATAAGGTTCCTCTCCTTCAGTGCCCACCAGCTTCAAATCAAGTCGTTTCGAACCATTGGGCGTGGCTTGCAATAGGACAAAGGAGGATTTGTCGTCACTCCGGGGGAACTTGAGGACTCGAGCTTGAGAAGCCATTGGACAAGATAGGTCCCGGTAGAAAGGGTCCAGTGAGACTCGTGTGGTTGTCAAACCTAACGGGGGTTCAGATCAAGGCCGGTGGAATGATGCCAGATGATGGGGCGCCACGGGAAGAATATTTGATGGAGCGTTCTAACTCCCTTGTCAAAGAAGCAAGTGAGACACGGTATACGGGCCGAGGAGATCAGCGTTTGAAAGCTGGCTTGTTTGAGGAATGGGGGCTTTGAATCAAGTGTCAAAGCACGTATCCTTTTGGAGCTATATGCGGTCTTGGCGAGATTCGAGCGTCGAGGGAATGTCTTATTATAGAAGAGACAAGAATGAAGAAAAGAACGATGATCTTGACGAGAGTATTATATAGAGAACCTCAACTCAAACTGGGTATCGGGTCCGCTCTGTCAGCTTCTTTGTTGTTGTGTAAGATGGTGGTGTTGGTTGTGCTTGGACCATTTCTCTTTGAGCGATGTGTGAAGCTCTGCTTATTTTTTTTCTAAGTATATAGAAAGGCTTGGGGGTAGCTCAAGAAACAGTCCCACAGGGAGGAAATGAGAAGAGAAAGAAAGGAATCTTTTGGTGTTAGAGTTTAGGTTTCTCCAAGTTATATCCGTAATAAGTAAGTTGATTTAGGTGTAGGCAGCCGTTCCACTTGGAGCCTCTCGCGGAATGCATTCATGCACAATGAAGCGGTTGGCTGCAGGCTGCAACACATTTTAGGCGAGGCCTATTCAGGGCAGCTCTATCCGTACCTTTAGGTAGGTAGCCTAGGGAGGAAATAAAACTCGGGACCTTGAACCTAACTGATAAAAAGACTTAGGTAACTGAGTATAAATTTAGGATAAGTTTAGTATACCTTTTGTAGAGTTTATTTTGTCACCCTAAACTTGGGTCTCGTGTTTTCTTACTCCCAGAGGGTAGCTTCTAGGCCTGGATGGACCCGCTTCAGGAACTTGAAGTGCAGCGAATCAACCTCCGCCTAGTATAAGCTGGGGCCTACATATAATTTTGGCCTTGTCCGGTTAGTTCACAACCTTTGGTGATTCTTTATCACAGTCTATCAATCAGCATACATACCATTGTAAAACTCAATATCGGTCAAGTATGAAAATTAATGTTGGCGTTCTTTGTAACCGTGACCCATTCCATAAGTCCAAGTCTGGATGTATCAGTCTCGTAAAAGAGCCTACCTATGGATATTTGTGTCTTGCACGACGCATCTCCCAACTGGGACATTTACGAGCGGCCTTCCCTCGACGAGCTTCAACTTTAGAAACCCCGGGCATGAGATCGTGCCTAGAACTGTCTTGTGGAGTGAGAAGCCGGTATATAGTCGTATACTAATATTTTCGACGAGACATGTTGGAGGGAGGTTAATCTATGCGGGACAGTGGCCTGGGGACGACGAGATTATCATCATCATAATAGCCAGGGGTGTCTATTTGTCTGTCTGCCCAGGCAGGTTTTTAGCTTTGTGAGATCATCCAAGATCGTCCAGGCACGCCAGGCACAAGATATGGAGGCGAAAAGCTTGGAAAACAAGCTGAATTAAGCTGACGGAGCTGGCTCTTGAGCAACCAGCCACCAAACGCAAACTGGTGACGTCCTGTGAAGAAAACTTCGACTTGTCGCGACCATGACGCGTGAACGTTTGGGCCAATCGGGCGGTTCCCCCTCGCTTCAAACGGTTTCCCACAGGCAAGAATCTCATTGTTTTCACAGCTAGACTTGTTTGCGCAAGGGTAATCACGTGAAATCACTCCCATTTCTCAAACCTGCCTCCGAATTTTGCTTCAAAGGTCTGGTCACATTCTGGTCCGTCCAGGAGAGACCTTTTCAGGTGTAGCGTCTGTAAGCATTCAGGCGTAGTGCTTAAATAGCGCAGCAGCCAAGAGCTGACCACTTGTCCTGTGTGGAGCCACCTCTAGCGATAGCAGTGCCCAGCAACTGATGGCTACAGTGGGCACGTCCCTTAACAGTTAGCGGGGGCCACCTCCAGCCACGCTCAGAGTTACCCCCCCAGCCTTCCATTTCTCTACCAAGCTGGAGTGCACGGGAGTGGAGTGCACTGTGATTCACAGAGCACCTCACCTCAGTCGCCCACCAAACCTAGAGCCAAACTAAACAAACCAATCCACCTCATCCACCACCGACCGCATTCCTGACCTTTGCATCCTGTCTCGCACGTCACCCTCTCGACCATCAAAAAAATCCTCACCTACGTACAGATATCAAATTCGGTTTCCCTCTTCGAACGAGCTTTTCCTGTGTCGATCTTGGTTTTTGTTTGTCCATCCGCTCGCAGCACACGGCGACTTGGCGACGGTTTTCTTTGTTACTATTATCACCACATTTCGCTTCGCTTCTTCTCACACATTTGAATACTTGATCAGCGACTCGCACAAAGCTACTACAAACGCATCCGCAGCTTTCGCGAAGCCTTTCCCTACGATTGTCGATTTTTTTGTCTACTTTTCTTGACGCAGCCTTCTCCTCAAACGTCACATTGTCACGCTTGAAGGATATGCTATTGTATGCGGGGAACAATTACCATTGACAATAATGACTACACGCAATTGACATCGCGTCCCCAACAGCCAGGCCAACCAACACGATTTGTACAACCTTGGCCTCAGCATACAGATTGCGTACTGCACATAGCAACACATTCACTACCATGGAACCCTTACGACTTAAGCCCAGACAGCCCGTCGAGGCCGACATAGAGAATTGGGACGACGATGACTTCGTGGTAGAAGGCGACGATTTATCCTTCCGAAGCCCATCTACTGCCACAAATAATCCTTCGCGACCATCCTCTTCAAGACGACGCGATTCTGGGTCATCCCACTTTTCATTTAGATCTGAACTCGAAGGAGAAGAAGAGCAACAGGTCCATATCCCGGGAGATGACGAGAAGTCAACGCTAGATGCCATCGCCGCAGCCCAAAGTGCCGGCATTCCATTACCATCAAATGTTCCATCTTCTGCTCTCATGGGAGGTACTATCAAACGTCTTGGCGGACGAAAGATTCGCAAGATCATCCAAGACGATTGGGAGAACGATCTAGAGATCCCCGACTCATCGCAGGGTTTGAAGATGAAGAAACTAGAGCAACCCAAGTCTCCCGAGACCTCGCGACATGTCAGCTTTGGATCTACACATACTAGCCCTATGAGCTGGGGCAATTCACCTCCGACTTCTCCCTTTGACAAAGTCAACCGACGTGAGTCCACTCAATCAATTCAGTCTATACAAAGCATGCAGTCTATTCAGTCTGCCACAAGCAGTCTTTCTGCCGCCATCAATCTGGATAGATTTAAAGACGCTGATGACGACGATGACTTTTTTGGAGATGGAGGTGATACTATTAGAGCCTCCAAAAACCGTCAACTTCCTAAACCTGTTTCCTTTATTACACCGCCTACTCCTCAGAGAGAGGCCAAACCCTCCAACCCGGAGGATGATTTTGAGATGGATCTTGAACTTCCATCAGACGGAAAACTTAAACTTTCTACCAGAAAGGAGATCCCCAAGACACCTTCCAACCAGTCAGAGGATCTGGACTGGGGAGAAGGAAGCTTGGGCACTCGATATGGTGGTACCAGGCGAGACGCACGTTCTGCCCGAAGCTCAGCGGCTTCTGCGCTTAGCCCAAGTGTGTCAAGTTCTATCACTGCTGAAAGTGAAGATGAAACATTTGATGGACTTGTCCTCCCTCCAGGGCCTGTTAATTGGACCGAGAGGCTTCAACAGAGGCGGAAGAGTCGATCGCCCAACCGCATTTCCGAAGAACCTATTGTACCTGCAAAGAAGATCCCGGCAGCAGAAGCCGATAAGCCTGATTTTCTTGACGGCCTTGATCTCGGCGAAGGAGATGTCTTTGATTCGAGCAAGCTCACTCTGCATAAGAACGTCAGAGTCAAGGAAACACGGCCGGTGAGCCCTGCTCGACCCAAAGCGGCAGTGTCGCTCACGTTTACACACAAACCACTCAATTCAACTCGGATACCTAGGTTGAATCACCATGAGCGAACACACTCAACATCGTTGGAGCCTGTATCCGAGAGCGGTGGCCCTATCCCGCAGCGCACTCGTCGCTCTCATTCCAGATTGGGTCACTCATCCCAATCCTCCATCGTCAGCCTACCAACTCCCACTACAACCTCACCATCTCATGGACTGCCGCCCACTCCACGCAGGAGGGAAGTTAATCTTCGCACCTCTACAAATTCACTTCGAAATGAGCCGACAACCACTAGTGCTCAGCTACTTAAGCAGAAACGCTCCCTACCTGCAATTCGTGGCCCGGCCAAGCAGCCTTCCTACCGTCATGAGAGGCCCCCTTCGAGGTCGGAGAATAGTCGACCATCGTCTGGTGTGAGGCCAAAGACGCCCACAGAACGTCAGCGACATGGCGCGACAGACAGCCCGGCAACTGTCCGCAAGTCTCACCTGCCATTTCTGCCTGCCGGTGCCTCTCAGTCGCAGTCACAGCACGTTGCTACAAAGCAGACTCGTGGATTCCGTCGACATGATTCAGACAACTCTATCAGCTCTATTGACCTACGCCCTAACTCTCGTACACTTTCCCGGTCGACAATGCGATCACCCAGTCCAAATCATCGTCACCGCGCTACTGCCGATACTTGGGAGCGTCTGAGCAAGCCAAAGAACAAAAAGAACTTTGGTGATGGCCACGAATTGGACGGCTTTGATGATCTGCCCACATCCAAAGAAACCGAGACGAAGTACCTGAAGCAACCGACTAGCTCAGGACCAAAAGTTGCTTTGCGTAACAGGCTGTATCAAAACGTTCTGCCAGACAGGAACACTACCATGTCTCCATCAATCCCTCCTACCCCTCGACCATCCTTCACTCCTCACTTTGCTCGCGACACAGCTGCAAGTAGAATCGCCCGGGAGACTGCGCTGGCTCAACGGGTCCCTAGCAGTGGCCCGTTGACGCCTCTAAGCTCCCAGCGTGTGGCTCACCTTTCCTCGCGAGGCAATCTGACGCCTACCATTCCTCAGTCAAACATTCGATCGAGAAAACACAAGCGACCACAACAGACCAAGCCACACCTAATCTCAAACTTGAATAGTGGCAAAGAGTCTAAGAGTGAGTTTATTAGACCTCGCGTTGATACTATCGCTAACCAAAAAACAGTGGTGAATGGTATGTTCTACAATGCAGACACATACAGATGGGAAGGCAATGAGAACGCCCTCAATGTTTTTGAACCCCCTGTACAAACACCTACCCAAGCTGTTGTCTCAAGCAATACCCGCGAGAAGGAAATGTCGACACCTCGTCCTGCACTCATCACCAATATTAGCGCCACAAAGGGCGTTCAAGTTGTCGGTGGCATGGTTTTTGATCCACAGAACATGTGCTGGCTTAAACTTGACAATCCTGCTAAGCCTACCTCTGAGACCAGCGACACTATGGATGGCTTTGACGCGCTGGACGACGAAGACGTTTTCAAGGATATTCCTGACTTGGAAGATAACACTGCTGCCGACGATGAGGGCGCTCAGGGTCGCGTTAGCGACATCAAGGATGAGTGGCTCGTCGGCGAAGAATTTGATGTTGGGCCTGAATTCATCAGGCGACAACGAGAAGAAGAAGATCGGTGGAGAAAGAAGTGCGAGAAATGGATCGGCCGAGGATCCAGAGATCGCGAAACCTGGCGTTGGACGATACGCGAGCTTGTCTCACAGTTTGACGATTTGGCGGCTATGTGAGAAAACTCGAGCCTCACGGCTCTTTACCATTCTTCGGCATCACTGTTAAGCAACAACTTGTAATACGCACACTGACCATGCCGAGCAATTGTGGACACACACAAAATATGGCAGGGTCACCTACACGATTTATGGAACAAACAACTGATTGTCATGAAAGGGATTACGGCTGGATACCCCGGGTGGTTTGGGTCAACATGACTCCCTCTGGTTTTTGATATTTTTGTTACTCTATTTTGTTTTGTTTTTTTGCCAGCGCCAAAGGGATATTGATGACGACCATGTACTATATGGCAAAAAAGGGTTAGGCTGGCTTTGGGTTCTCGGGAATGATAGAAAAAATGGCGGCCAGCGGCAAACCCCCTTACGGCTGGGAAGCTGGGCTATTTAATGACGAGATGAACTTTACGACCTGCTTTATTAGCCACGACATTCTTTTTATTCATTTCTTTTGTGGTCTAGTTAGATTTTATATCAAATGAGATGCTTATAACAAAACGAGGATACCCTTGTAGTTGAAACTGTTGTGATATGAATGGACTCCAAACACTTTTGTTTATTATCTAGCGTATAATATGAAAAACCCTCTACGTGAACAACACTAAAGGTCGTCAAACCCGTAACCATTTTTAGAACAAGAAACTCCCGCGAATGGTTGAGCAGTTGGTATCTACTTCTGCTTTGTGATCTCCTTCTCCTTCTTTGCCTTTTTGCTGTTACTTTTAGGATCCAGACCTCTTCGGCGCATGGCATTCCTTCGTCCCTTCTCCATGTACTCCTTATCCTCCTCCTCATCCCAGCCGCCAAAGTCGTCATCAGGCTTCGTCTTGCCTGTCTCCTCATCATCTGTGGCGATAGGTGTTCTATCGACGACCTCTTCCTCGTCAGCGGGGCCAGTAGAACGGTCACGAGCGTTGGAGGCATTGGCGGGCGTGGGGCCGATCTTATGGAACTTGGCAACGAAGAAACCGTCCACGTTGTAGGTATGAGGGTAGTATCGGCGAGTGTGACGCATAGAGGGGTCGAACTTTTTGCCCATGTAGCTGGTGAAGCCCTCCTTTCCGAATGCGAGACCAGCATCAACGAGGCGAACATTGGGACGACGAGAGAGGGCATATTGAACGACTTGTTCGTTCTCCTCAACGGTGACGGAACAGGTTGAGTAAACAATGTAGCCGCCTGTCTTGGAGCTGTGGTTGACTGAGTCAATGGCGGCGAGAACAAGCTGCTTCTGAATGTGGGGGAGTTGCATGAAGTCACGCTCTGTCTTGTTGGTCTTGACACTGGGATCCTTTGCAATAACACCAGTTCCAGAGCAGGGAGCATCGAGAAGAACACGATCGAAACCACCCATAGGCTTGGGGAACTCACGGGCATCGTAGTTTGAGACAATGACGTTGCGCGTTCCAAGACGGTGAATGTTACCGATCAGACCCTTAGCACGAGCCTTGTTAGGATCGTTAGCCACGACGATACCGGTGTTCTTCATCATAGCAGCCATGTAAGTAGTCTTTCCACCGGGGGCAGCGGCCATGTCGAGCACGCGCTCGTTCTCCTGGGGGTCGAGAGCCATGCAGGGCAAGAAAGAGGATGCAGCTTGGAGAATGTAGTGACCGGCAAGATACTCAGGAGTAGCACCGAGGGGTACGCTACTCTCGAAAACCTGGAGACCAACCTTGGACCACTTTCCGACGGGCTCAAGAGTAACACCACGGTTGATAAGAGCCTGGGCAAGATCACGACGATGAGTGCGCAGAGTGTTTGTGCGAATGACGACAGGACGGGCCGACTCGTTAGCCTCGAAGAAAGCAAAAGCCTCACGAGGGGTGAAGAGGTTGAAGAGCTTCTCAGCGAGATACTCGGAGTAACCATAGTAAGAGCAAATGTCCTTGAGAAGTTGTGATGTGTACTCGACTCTTGAACGACCCTCCTCGGACAGGTTGGCGAAGTCGTCGAGGACGCGGATGTTTTCCGTGATTCTTGTTCGCAGAAGCTGCAAGTCGGGGGCTAGGAGGGCGGTTGTCTTCTTTGATAGCTCATCGTCGCTGTCTTCATCGGACAGAATGTGAGGCTTGTCGCCGTGGATGTTGGTCTGGAGAGCCTCTTGTGCCATCTCAGCCTCTGCTTCGGCAGCTTCCTCTGCCATTTGAGCATCCAATTTCCTTGAAAGACCCGCAATGTTGGCGGCTGTGAGCTTCTCCTCGGCGTCGGACTCGTCCTCGTCCTCAGAGAACATAGCTTTCGTGTTCTTGCCTCCAGCATCTTCATCGGAGTCGAATACAGAGTCATCGTCGTCTGAACCGAGGAAATCGTCGCCGAGTCCGGCGCCGCCCTCAAGATCTGAATCGTCCTCAAGATCCTCAAGGTCAAACTCATCGTCCATCTCCTCATCGGACACATCCTCCAGCGCCGGCGCCGGGGCCTTCTTGTTCTTCTTCACCTTGCCATTGGCCTTTGGCTCCGGAGCAGGCGCTGCAGTCTTTACAGGCTTGGTGACCTTTGTCTTCTTGCCATCCTTCTTAGCGGCGACACCATTTCTCTTGGGCTCGATGACCGTCCTCTCCTTTGTGTTGGTCTTTCGCTTCTTCTTCTCGGGCGCCTCGACAACGGGATCGACAGGTAGACCGGCCTTGCGCTTAAGTCTTGCAAAGTGTTCCTCGGAAAGGGGTTGAGGAGGACCCTGCTTCTTCATACGACGTCCGACACCCATTTTGAAGTGAGCAGAACAACAATTGAAAAGTTGTCAAGAAATTAGTTCGACCGAGATGCAAAATAGATCTGGTCTTGGTTCTTGGGCCTAGGAAAAGTTACAATAGATCGCGCCCCACCGAAACTTTTTTCTGCGCGCGCTGCGATTACCAGGGTCTGATAAGCGGCAGAACTTCGTATCGGATTGCTGGAAAAGTGCTTTATGTAATCGTTTGTGGGTAGCTTGAGCTTGTTCTGGTGGGTGTGTTCAATGACGATAGTTGATGAAGCTGGCTAGAACCTACTATTGATCGGTTCCTATTGTTGCGAAATAGAGACTATTGACATCTTTACTATACCTTTAGAGTCCTATACATTCGAAAGGCTCTCTCTACTATCCTTCAACTTTCTCACCTCTGCATTCATCATCGCCGATCAACCCCGCCTCCGTCGAGCTAACAGTCTACCTACCACAACGAAGCCATCATCATGTCTGAAACCGCTTTCGCCCAAACATTTCTGGCATCGCTAGAGTCGCGGCCTATCCGACTCTCTGCCGACCATGTCGAAGACCCCAAGACTTACCCTGCTAGGCCACCTGTATGGACTTCGTGCTCTTCCTCCAGGACACATGCTAATACCAGCTCTAGTACATCATCCCCCGCATGCCCAAGCCCATGAGCAAACCCAACAACCTCGCTCCCGGCTCCGAACGAAGCATCACCGTGTCACTCAAGTCGCTTCGCAACCCTCCTCTGAGCATCAAGCTCACCTCTCAACCCCTAGACACCTCAATCCTGGACATCAAGGCCAACATCGAGAAGCAGACAAGGATACCCGCCGCTAAGACCAAGTTGTTGCACAACAAGAAGCCTATCCCTGATAGCAAGATTCTTAAGGACCTACTAGGCGAGACGGATATGTCTATTGAGTTCACGGTTATGGTTATTGGAGGTGCCGCTGCTATTCCACCAGAAGAGCCTGAGGCCACTCCTGAGGCCCAACCCGTAGGCGCCCAAGCCTTACAGACGGAGGCCTTCTGGAGTGACCTGAAAGGATTCTTGATGCAACGACTAAAGGATGAAGCCGAGGCGGAACGTCTCTCTGGGCTTTTCAAATCAAGTTGGGAGTCGAATCAAGCAAACCCATAGAAGGTGACGATATTTAGAAGCAATGAGAGCATGACAGAGACAATCGGATAGATAGATGATAAAATGCCAATAGTTGCCACATACCAGCATGCGGTTTTATTTCCCGTGGTACGTACGATACATGGTCAGTGTCGACAATTGTGCGAATTTAAGTCTCGCCTCCAGAAGCAAACTCGTTGGTTTGCGTCCCTGGAGGAAACGAAACATTTCATGGTCCCCGCGCGTTTGTTCCACCCCCTCACTATGCACTCCTACTCATTTGCTTGTTTTGGTGTCTCAACTCTTGAAACAGCCATAGGTATGTTCAAATTCCATATCCACCCGCTTCTATATGGGAGCGCGGGCGGCGATTGGGTAGTCGGTGACAGCGCGCTTAACCAGCAAGACCCTTGCTGACGGTCTTGAGGATGGAGTCGTATTCGATGTCATCAGTGTCGTTGGCCTGGAGCTCGGTGGCAATGCCAGTGAGCGATCGCTTAAGAGCCTCCTTGGAGGAAGCGTAGATCATCTTGGGCTGCAGTTGGGTGTTAGTGGGGGGCCTGAATGAGACGCATTGCCAAGCAATGTCGCGTGTCTACGTACCTGGATACCGGCATCATCGGGAGACCAGGCGATGAAGGTGATCTTGTTTCTGTCCGATTGTCAGTGGTTTGGGCCACATGCAGGCCAGGGGAGGACGGCATACCGGATACCATCGCCAGAGGCCAGGCTGTACTCGAAGTCGTAGACGGCGTAACGGGGACCCTTGCCAACAGCGCCCTACAAGAGATGTTAGAATTGGTGGTTCGGTGTCATTCTACGTTCGTCGGGTTGGCACGCGTACAGTTCGGCTCTTGGAGGTAGCGTTGACGAGCTTCTCACGGAAGTCCTCCCAGTCGCTGTTGTCGGAGGCGTGCTCGACAACGATCTCCTTGTAGTCGTCGGAAAGCTTGTAGACGATGTACTTGTACTTCTTGTTAAGCTTCAGGTCGTTGAAGGCAGTTATGCAGTCCTGCGAAACGGTGGCACTGTATTTCGAAAAAGCAAAGTCTAACGTTAGCGCCGTTGTCTCAAACAATGCTGTCTAGGTAGCTGTTGCATGTTTGCCCCGCGCCAGGCGTCATAATCATGGTCGAGGGGGAGGGGAGATGAGCAGCGAAGCGAGGCTCAGCCGCGGGGAAGTGAGGATTTCATGGGCGCACGAGGATCAAACAGCTGAAGAAGAGAGTGACAGGACGAACCCAGATTGAGACTGCGGATTATCGTTAGATTCAGGTTATTTTTGGTGGTTTTATAGGGGAGCTTACCATGATTGCGGTCTACGTCAGGAGACGGGATGTTTAGGATGAGGGGTGGACGGGCTGGCGGGGAGCTCTTAGTTAGCTAATAGACCTCAAGTACAGGCTGTAAGAGGATGAAATTTTGGTTGGGGGTGGAGGAAGAGTAAGAGGCTCTCGGCGTACGTACAGAGTGGATTGAAGTGTAGGAGAGAAAATCGACAGTCTCACGATGCAGAGCGAAGCGAAGCAAAAGGACAAAGTCGATGGAAACGGGCGTGAGAGTGAGTGGGTTGTATCTCTTGGGTTAGTTCGGTTTAGGCGGTAGAGAGAGAGAATTGCCTTGTATTGTCCCATAGAAAGGCGGGGCCGTTGCGGGAGAAACTTGAGTCGAGTCTCCCCTCTCTTCCTCTCTTGGGTGCTCTCCTCTTGGTGGGGGTTGCCTGTAAGGATAGCTTCACGTGACTGGACAAGAGTGTATGTCAGTAGAACATTATTACCTACAGGTACTACTTGGTTCAATACGACATGACTTGTTGATATCTTCCTTGGCTTGTATTGAAACTGAACTCTGGTCTTGTATACATATGCAATGGTATCTTATACTTACGAAACTGTCTACTGTTGGTGTCTGTTCTTGAGGCAGCATAACTCACCCTTGTCGTAAACTCGTCATCTCTTGTCTGTTCATGCAATGAACCCCTGCTCAATCTCGGCGACTCGGAACTTGCCTTATACAATCCTACCAGTAATGCAAACAATCAATACAAACATATCAGCATGTTACTCAAAGTACTACTAATGTCAAGTCACATAAAAGATAAGAGACCAGGTGTTTCAATGTTTTTCATTCTTGCCTCTCTTTTTTAACTTTTAGTATCTCATATCTTTTCATGCTAATGCTACAATCAATGCTATAATACATGGCTTTCAAAATCTAGCCTGAAAATCCGTAAGGGGTATGAAGACAAATGCCGTGGTCCGACAACCGATAGAGAGGAGATGAGCTTGCAAGACCACTTTACCCGTCCCAAGATAACACGCAAACCATTGTGCGCCATTCATCCATCCAGCTTTTTTAGTGATACAGCACAACATAAAGTCATATCATTCCGTCTTTTACATCATACCTCCCATACCGCCCATTCCTCCCATGCCGCCCATGCCACCCATAGGAGGACCACCAGCTCCCTTCTCCTCAGGGGCGTCAACGATGGCAACCTCAGTGGTACCCAGAAGAGAGGCAACACCGCTAGCATCGATGAGACCAGTGCGGACGACCTTGAAGGGGTCAAGGATACCGGCGTTGATCATGTCAACGTACTCACCCTTTGAGCTATCGAAACCCTTGTTGAAGTCACCGGCGTGCTCGTCAGTGAGCTTACCGACAACAACGGAGCTCTCAAGACCGGCGTTCTCGATGATGGTTCGGGCAGGGCGTGTAATAGCGTTCTTGACGATGCTGACACCGAGCTGCTGGTCGAAGTTGGCAGTAGGAACCTCGTTAAGAGCGTGGGCAGAGGCCTTGATAAGGGCAGTACCACCACCGGGTAGGATACCCTCCTCAACGGCGGCACGGGTGGCGTTCAGGGCATCGACGAATCGGTCCTTCTTCTCGCCGACCTCAACCTCGGAGGAGCCACCAACCTTGATGACGGCAACACCGCCAGAAAGCTTAGCAAGGCGCTCCTGGAGCTTCTCCTTCTCATACTCAGAGGTGGTAGGGTCAGCAATGACGCCACGGATCTGCTCGCATCGCTGAGCAATAGCGTCCTTGCTGCCGCTACCGTTCAGGACAATGGTGTCCTCCTTTGTGATAGTGATAGAACCGGTGGAACCGAGCATGTCAGGGGTAGCCTTGTCAAGCTTGATGTCAAGCTCATCAGTGAAGACAGTACCGTCGGTGAGGATAGCAAGATCGCCGAGGATGGACTTGCGGTTGTCACCGAAGCCAGGGGCCTTGACAGCGGCAACCTGGAGCTGGCCACGGAGCTTGTTCAGAATGCAGACAGCGAGAGCCTCGCCCTCAATGTCCTCAGCAATGATGACAAGAGGTCGTCGCTGCTGCGTAGAGACCTCGAGAGCGGGGATGATGTCCTGAACAGCAGAGATCTTCTTCTCGGAGAGGAGGATGAGAGGGTTCTCAAACTCGACCTTTTGGGACTTGGTATCGGTGATGAAGTAGGGGGAGACGAAGCCACGGTCAAATCGCATACCCTCGGTGACCTCGAGCTCATCGGCAACGGTCTTGCCTTCCTTGCAGGTGATGACACCCTCCTTGCCGACCTTCTCCATGGCGTTGGCAATCATCTGGCCGATGTGGACGTCACCGTTGGCGGAGATGGTAGCGACCTGAGCGATCTCAGCGCTGGTGGTAATATCGCGCTTGTTCTTCTGGAGGAACTCGACGACGGCCTCAACAGCAGCCTGGATACCTCGGCGGAGGTCCATGGGGTTGCAGCCAGCGGCAACGTTCTTGACGGTTTCGGAGAAGATGGCACGGGCGAGAACGGTAGCGGTGGTGGTACCATCACCGGCAACCTCGTTGGTCTTGGAAGCAACATCTTGGAGGAGCTTGGCACCAAGGTTCTCGAACTTGTCCTTGAGGCTGACAGCGCGGGCAACGGTCACACCATCTGTAATAAGTTAGTTGAAAGCTTGGAAATGGTTGATGGGGTTTGTACGAACCCTTGGTGATCTTGGGAGATCCAAAGCTGGACTCAATGAGGACGTTTCGGCCCTTAGGACCGAGGGTAGTAGCAACAGCCTTAGCGAGGGTATCGACACCAGCGAGGAGAGCAGCACGGCCCTCAACACCGAACTTGAGCTCCTATAGAGTGAATTAGTATACAATTGGGATATTGTGACGTCGTAGTATCATCATACCTTGTGAGCAAATCGGACCTGCTGGCTGAGGCTGCCAGCTCGGTACTTGGTGGCCGCTGAGGAGAGGACGGAAGCCCGAGCCCGGGTGCTCAATGCGCGCTGCATGATTGTGGAATTAAGAGGGGGTATATGGGGAGAATTACAAGTAAAGGAGAAAAAAGAGAAACGCTCGTGAGAATTCGACCTGGGGATGTAGGACGGACGAGTCAGAGTCAAAGGAGGAGAGGGTTCGAGTGAGGGAGACAAAGGTTGATATGTTGGCGGCGACTGAGAAGCTCTCAAAAAATTGGAATCGTCCCCGTCGCTCGGAGTGTCGGTCTCGGCAAAACCCAGCTGCGAGGCTAACCCCGATACGTACTAGCGCCACCGGCCATCGACTTCTACACCTTTCCAACGACGTCTGTGAGACTCGCTGCTAAATGCCCTGGAAGGCCTGAAGATGGGGCATTCCAAGACCCGGAACTCCTATTACCGGCGCCATAGCCGAGGGCGGCATACAGAACTGGCTTTTGACGGATCACGAGCGGCTTTCGATCTCCAGACCGAGACTTTGAGTGCTTGAGCTTGAGCCTTGCTCCACGGTGAACGACTCCACTGCCCGATGTTGCATGACAAATGGCCCATCTGGGGTTCGCTCGTTTTCCATGGGGCTCAACGGTGTAAGTTGTCTGGGTAGATCGAGTGAGAATCTCTACTGAGAACGAATTCGTGTCATTGGCTATCCTATACTCAAAAGATAACTGGCACTGAATAAGATAACTTTCAATGTTGAAACTGTGTCACATATCTAACTACATAATGTCTTACAATTGTTATCAGCATGAGTTGGCGGGGAACATCGGATCGATCTTCCCAGGTAGAAATTCCAAGCTGAGGAAGATAACAGGGCAGGGATATTGAAACTGAAGTGGGCAGTGAGTAGTTGGAGTCAAGAACAGCCGTGATATTGAGAAGTATCACATGACTCATCATCATATTGGATATACCATCCAAGTCAAAACAGTCGAGTCTTGGTCAAGACTAATCAAAATGTGAAATCAATCGAAGTTCTATTTGAGTACAGCCAACTCAATGAGCAAAGCAAGTGTCAATCAGACCTTGTCGCTACATACATCAAATTGATCAAATGTATTCCATCCCAAGACGGTGAGGTCTGCTACTACTCTGCTGCCCGTTCCTCCAATCACTCACGAGGATATGCGCTGGCGCTTGAACTTGCGCACCATACGGAAGATAGATGATCGCTCACTTCGTTCGGCCCTATCGGAACCAACAGCGGCGTCCTTCATTTCCTGGGCGGCGCTGATGGCTTTGGCATCTGGCTGCGGGTCGGCGGAAGCCATCTGCTGGATATGAAGAGCTTGCTCAATGAGCTCGCGAGCTTGTTTCTGGGAAGCTTCCTCAACAGCGCATCGGATGGTCTCGGGGAGTTCTTTCGACAAGTCGATGAAAAGCTGGTTGGCAGACGCGAGGGTCTGGGCGGCAGCCTGGTTGTTATAGATCTGAGGCTCGATGAGGTTACTCAAGTGAGTGACAGAAGCATTCATGACTTTGTTTTGCTGCTCTAGAGTGTCGGTCTGCTTCTTGAAGAAACGGCTGTGTTCCCGAAGGCTAGCCTTGTGGTTCAGAAACATGCTGTGCTGCTGCATGAAGAGGTCATTCTGTTGGTCCGCGTGTAGCTGGAAGAGATCATTCTGCTTCTGCGTCTGGTGCTGAAAGACATCGGTCTGGTGTCGAAGGAGGCTGGTTTGCTCCTGGGCCTGTTGTTGGAAGGCATCGGTTTGGTGTCGAAGCAGGCTGGTCTGCTGCTGAACAAGGCTGTTTTGTTGCTCACTTTGTCGCTGAAACGTGTTGTTCTGCTGTCGAAGAAGGCCGCTTTGCCGCTCGACAAGTCCATCAGTCTGTCGTTGGAACATGTCATTCTGATGCTGCAGGAGGGCTGTCTGCTCTTGGAAGACTTCGCCTTGTTTCTTGAGATTAGAAACGTTCATGCGGAGGGGTCCAGTGGCGTCGGAGATGCCCTGCTCGATGGTATGCTCGACCATAGAGCACATGTCATCGTGGACGTCGATGAAGTCTTGCTGAGTAGGGTTGAAAACCTCACGATGCTGGAGCGCAGTGTTTGAAGCGTTGTAATATCGCTGCTCAGCTTCCACCGCTTGAAGGTAGTGGTCAACACGGCGGGCGACTTCTTGATCAGTCTCGCGCTTGAGAGATGCCTGACGGACCTGGATGCCGAGTGCAACCTGCTCGCGGAAGTGGACGTATGACTGAGGAGCAGGAGCAAGTTGGTTACCACGAAGGCGGCGAAGATAGATGAGCGAATTGTAGTCTTCGGCAACAGCATTGGCATCCAGAGTAGGCTCGGTGGTAGGAGGAAATTCTCCGTTGCGTCTGGCTTCAGCAATTTGGAGGGACATCACCTGGAGCTGACCAAAGCTGTAGACCTGACCGTTACGCATGGTAAACGTGGAGGTAGAGTTCCAGTTGTTGCAAGGGTAGTTGGGAGTCTCGGGCCGGGAGAGAAAAGCCTCAATGGGCGACTCGGGGGGAGTGCTATCCATGCTTGAGATGCTACGCTTGTTGGACATGCTACGGCCAACGGAGCTGATAGTCTCGGCTGTGGTGCCGCTCTCACTGGGAACGGTCTTGCGATTGGCAACCATCTTCTCAAGATTGGCGACAACAGGAGACATGGGCTCATAATCAGGCATTGCCATCTGAGCATCAAACTCGGAATCGCTGTCCTCAAAGGTGAAGGAGAGCGGAGTACGGGCTGGAGTAGGACCCAACATGATGAAAACTTACCTAATAGCAAGCAACGAAGCTCAAAAGATGAAGCAGAAGTGTTGTGTGCTTTGGTATGAGCAAAGATTGAGTCAAATGTGCCTTGAGAGAATGAGTTTGAGGTAGCAGAAGAAGAGCACTTTACTTACAGAAAGTGAATCAACACTCAATTTGCCTTGAGTCTTGCAAGAATAATCAGAATGGAACGAAGCCGGCGATGGAGTTCGCTGTTGCAAAGCAAATGAATGTTGAAGGAAGAATGAGAACTGATGGTGAGTGTGGGATAGGGAAGAGAAGAGATATGCTCCTCTCCATGAGCATAGAGGATACCATGCATGCTCTCATTCATTAGTGACGGTACCAACCACAATAGGAAATTCTGGCAGAATTGCTATTGTTCAATTGATGCTCAAGTGTGACAATAGGGGGTGCATTTATGGAGTGGGGCTTGAAGCCATCACTGGCAGTGCCTGGCAGACGGCGAGAAATGTAAAGCCGGACTCTATTAGTGGCTTTGAGTACCTAGGCATGTAGGGAGTTTAATTGAATGTGATGTTCGATCGAATGTTGTTCCCGCTGAGTGTCCGTGATATATGGTGCTTACGATTTGACAGCTGAGGCTAGAAATCAAATGTAATGGGATGGACACTCACCGATTCTGGATTACAAAAGGCATTACAAACTCAAGTCACTGTTAACGGGCGAGCATACTAAAGAATCAATTGCGATCCTGTGAATTTAAAAGCACAGATTCATTTCTTTCGTTGCTACTTGCATCTCTTGAGACTATCCTCGATCCATGGTCCTGATACCCCAACTCTGCGCATACGCTGTCACATCCTAATCAGATATCTAGCTATCCATGAGATCATCAAGACAAAATCCATGGTGAAGCTGCTGTTCCAAGTGTGCCTATTCTCGTGCACTAGGCCGTTGGATCTGGACTTAAGAATCAGAAGGGGGCGCATCTGTCGTCGAAGTTAGTAAATTATCGCGAACGAAACATCGAGGACACATACCAGAGAGCGAGCCAGTAGAATCAGCCGAGTCCTTTTCTTCTTCTTTCTTGACCTTGCTCTTGCTGGCAGGGGTCTTGGGCTTCACATCTTCATCGTCTTCGGACTCCTCCTTCTTGGCCTTACGAGGAGTGGCTCGCTTCTTGGCACTTCCAGCGCCCTCGGCCTTGGCCTTGCGCTTGGGAGTTGAGGGAGCAGATTCGACCCCGTTGCCGTTAGCGAGGGCACCGGGACGGCTGATGCCGTGGGCCTTGAGCATTCGCTCATATCGCTTCTGACTGTTGCGTCGTGAGTTAGTGTTGATGGTGGGGAAGGGGGGGGCATAACTTACGCAGCGGCCTTGGAGACGATGGAGAGCTCATCGGCAACAGCCTGAAAGTCAGGCTTGGTAGGTCAGCAGCGCAACGTGAGACGAAAGAGGGACTTAGACTTACTCGACCGTTGCTGGTGTGTCCGATGCAGGACACAAGGAACTTGACCTGATCCGCAGGTTCTTGCTTGGACATGTTGGCGGTTGCTTGGGCTATGAGAGTGAGCGATGAGACCGAGACGAAGACAGGATAAAGAGTCAAGACGAAGTGAAGATGAAGGGCGTGTAAACTTACAGTGTTTGGGACTAATGTGGTCGTCTGGCGTTGTGGTGTGAGTGAGTGCGATGATCAGGCACAAAACTGAGATGGTGAGAGGTTGAAAGAAATGGTTCGGGAGAGATTAGACAAGACGAGTCTAAGTTTGCTTGGAGTAAACAGAGCAGGGAGAAAAGCAAAGAGGTACTAGAGGGGAGATGTGGCAGCAGGCCACACATATTGTGGGCAAATATCAACATCAGACGAAGCGGCCCTAACCAAGCAGCACGAGAAATACTGTTTGTGCACTAACCAGGCAACTAAACCCTGTGGCACAGACAACTGATACTGCGAATACAGTTACGAATAACTGAGGCTCATCTGCTGTCGAGTTGTTCCCGCTTGACAGTGTTGCCAGCTGCCAGCTTGATTCGCTGGCACAAACACTGTACGAGATTCAATACTGCATATGGGCATTGCTACGGACTTGATTTGACATATTTAGTATATTGAGACTTCTTCCACGATCTTGGTCTATGAATATAGAAACAACAGAGAAATCGTAAAAATTACAATATTCAGGGGTAGTCCAACCTGGCCACTAACTCATAGAGAACGAACCCAGGCCGGCGATAGTATTGCGCTCAATTCCTGGATGAAACTAGCCAGGTTTCTAGCCGGTGCTGCCATGTCAATTATGGTCTGCGAAGATTCCATCCCAGCTTTGTTGCAGTGCCACTCCATCTCTCGTCCACTCTCCCGCCCGCACAAGAAAGAAGAGTGGATGAGATTTCAGTCTACAAATTCGGATCAAAACCCGAAATCACATTATAGCCCGATATTAATTAGATGTGTCTCAAAGTCTCATTTTCATTTCGTTGTTGCCTCCAGATATTGACTAGCCAGATCCTTGCAGTATTCCCCCTAGACGTGATATGAGGTCCTTATGAATCTTCCAAGCATAGTCGACAATACGATATCCTTGCTCCCGACACTTCAATAATTAGTTAGTGTCATCATCCTCGACCTCGGACTTGATCTCCTTCTTCTCCTCCGACTGAGCTTCCTCCTTGACTTCCTTGTCATCCTCATCATCCTCATCAGCCTTCTTGGAAGACTTCTTAGAGGGGCTGCGAGCGGTGGTGGTCTTCCGTGGCTTCCTGACAGCAGCAGGAGACTTTCTTGGGCTGGAGGTCGAAGCAGAGGGCTTGCGAGGACTAGGACCAGCTCCAGCGCCATCACTGCGCCAGCCGTGACGGACGGACATCTGACGGAAGCGCTCCTTGGCGCATTTGGCGTCCTTGAGACTGACCGTGTTCGCGACAGCATCCCAGTCTGCGTCCGGCTTCTGGGTCATATTGTCGAAAATTGCCTTGATGAATCGGAGCTCACCATCAGTGAGGCCGATGGGGGACCCATCCTGATCGGCACTCTTCTTGGGAGGCATGATGATTGATCTGTGGTGAGGTTAGAGATGATGATGAAGATAGAATAATTAGAAAAGCGACATACTGGTAGGGATTGGTGTTTGTAATGTGTTATTTGTGAAAAGTGTCAAGCTTGTGAAGCAATGTGCAGATGCTTGCTGCGTGTTGGCAGAGAGTGTGGTGGAAGAGGAAAGGTTGGGAGGGAGAGGAGTGGGAGGGTGGATATAAATATTGGCAGGCTGCAGTGAATATCCCAGGGCTACGGCAAGCCTAGGTGCGCCATAGTGAGGACAATAGAGTGAATTATGGCGAGTTGGGTAGGTGAAGTGAATGTGACAATAGCTTGCAGTGCCAGAGCACATGCAGCGAGAACAGGCAGCGAGAAAGGCTAAAGTCCAGAGCTCGTACAATTCGCACAGAATGGAATGGGCAATTCGGAGCCCATTGATTTTATCTATTCATTACAGCTAGCAGATTCATCTTCAACTGTCCATGATATCTCCAGTTGAGCTCGGAACCTCCAGCCTGACACTCGTCGACTGCGAGTCGGGTCGTGAGAATATATCACTACAAATTATCTAAGGCGAGTCACCAAAACTTGAAATTAATTTGAGACGTGGTAGAATTGTGATTTGATTGTGTTGTTGCCATACTTGGCTTCGTGGTATCACATTGCCGTAGCTAACTCCTCAGATCGTATATCCCTTCTGAATGCCCCAACTCTGACTATAAGCAACCATAAGAGATCGTAGTCTCGATACGAAAGGCCCAAAAGTTCTCTCAGCCGTGGAATTACTGCTGGAAGAAGGGGAAGTTGGCGGGATCGATATCATCGTCCCCAAGGTCTTCCTTCTCCGGAGTCTTTTCCATCTCACGGTCCTCAGCCTTGATGCCGGCCTTGACCAGCTCGTCCTCGTCTTCATCGTGCAGGAGGACAGCCTCAGTCTCTTTCTTGACCTTTGATCTGCCCTTGCCGCTACGGGGAGTCTTGGCGACACGACCACCAGCGGTCTTCTTGGGGGTTGTAGGACCGCGGGTGGGAGCAGTAGTCTCAGTAGAGATACCGAGCTTGCGCTTGACCTGGCCGAACCGAACCTGTAATTTTTGAGTCAATATATGAATTCAGATGATAGAGTTGATCATGAGATGATATGCGACGGCATGGGCAAAGGAGGATGATGGCAACTTACCTTGGCGACATCTGCGTTTTTGAATCCAGCCTCAGAGGCGACAGCGTTCCAGTCAACGTCAGCTTTGTTTCGAGTGTGCTTGACAATGCTGAAGAACAGCATAGCTTCGGCGGCAGTGGGCTCTTTCTTATTGTTGTCGGCCATGGTAGCGTCGTGCTGTAAATAGCATTAGTCTGAATACTATTGACACCTCAGGTAAGTGTCAGGTATTCCTTACCGTTGTTTTGAAAGTGAAAGGGGATGTGTTTGGTTGTTGGGTGTTGATAAAATGGACAAAGTATAAAGCAAGGACGGTGTGGAGGAGATGAATCTGGGCGTGGAGGAGCGATAGAAATTTAGGCCTAGATCTTGGGGAAGAAGAAATTCGAAATTTAGAGAAGTTTAGGAGCTTTAGTAAAGATGCGATCAGTGTTCTGCTATAAGGGATAAGTTGAGAGAGCTAGTGGGTACACCAAATAACTGTAGCGCTTTATAAGGGCGAGAACTTTCTCCTGAGACTGAAGCCTATGGTTCTCTTGTTACTATAGTTATGCTGTTGGTGAGGTTTGTCTGTGTTTGGCACTGCTTTAAAGGAACTATATTACTGCCAAGTGTAAGTTAGATTTACAAGCCTCTGCCAAATCAGAATGCCAATATCACTACACTTGTATGTAACTGACATGATCAATATAATATGAATATGGGCACATGCTGTGTAGGAATCGATAAATGATTCTCTCAATTAGACTGTGAGTTAAACGCTATTGTACAACTTCCAGAGCAATATATAAGTTTCAGCAAAGCAGTCTTCCAGTAACTGGCAGTCTTTTCATCCTTGAAATGATGTTGATCCTAGTAGAGACTTGTGATAATTGTCTTTGATGGACCAAACTTGGAAATTGTGTAAAGCAGAACCGTGACAGAAGGACATAGGAAAAGCAACCATATCGAATAAGCAATTGTCATCAATTCATCAAGCAAACGCAGTCTAACAAATCACCATTTTGTACACAAGCAACCCTCTATCCGTGGGGTTTCCATGCTTTCCGTGTGGGTATTAAAAAGAAGTGTCGTTGAAATGGTCAGGCCATTCAGAGCTGCAATCCGCCATGGAAGGGGCGCCATTGAGATCAAGGGCAGCTGGGCTCTGTGCATCGCCGAGGGCCGAGTTGTAAGATGTCTCATTACAAGCGGCGTCAAACGTATGAAAATGGGACTGCCCCATGGCCATGAAGTCATGGATCGCTGGTTGGGCCATGAAGTCAGGGGGGCAATCCATCGAAGGACCAAATCCATTTCGCTGTCTGGTGTCTTCGAGTGAAGCAGGGTTTATGGAAAGGCCTTGTTGCATATCATCACTGCAAGGGGTGAGGAATCGAGAACTGCAACCAAAGTCGTCCAAGTGGTCGTTGAGGAAAGGGGAGGAAGTAGAGGCGGGAGAGAACTGTGCCATGTATGCATGTTGGTTCTGTTCTTGCTTGATGATAGGGCTCTGGCGAACCTGAGCATACGATGAGACGCTCGAACCTGACTCAGAGTTTCCGATGCTGTTCTTCTTGGGCTGTTGTGTCTTCCTTGCCTTTGTCACCCGAGACTTGTCTGTAGAGTCGGCAGGACGAGTTCTCTTCTGTGGCTGAGTGCCAAGGACTGTGGTTTTGAAACGAGCAAAGCGCATCCTTGCGGCATGTCCATTTGTGATGGGTTCGATGAGAACAGGGTCTGAGGCGACTTGATTCCAGTCGATCTGGGATTGCCGCCGTTAGGAGGAGAAGCAGAGCAACGTTCACGATAGAATAAACTCACATCCTTAAGGTTCTTCTGGTTCAAAATGGCTAGAAGAAACCGGGCCATGGCGTTCTCGCTGTTGGGAGCCATCGTAGATAGACTTGGCTGATGTCAAGGGGAGAGGAGGAGGAGAAGTGGCGTGTGGCGGTGGAGATAAGGCTGTCAAAGGAGGCAAAATGAGGAGAAGTGGAGGGAAGGATATATAGATTAGAACATGAAGTGTAAACTTTAGGCAGCTTTGGCTGATGGATGCCTGACTTGAGCGTGAATTAACTTTTCGGGATGAGTATATTGACCGAAAACGAGGCTGTACGTTTTCAGATCAAGACTTGATTCGATGGAGTCTGTTATCGTGAAACCGAATGCCGTGAATTCGATAAGAGGGAATCGGCGAGGCTGAGGCACACTCAGATACAGATCGAGTGGACGAAAAGAGTTATTGATGAGTGGACGATAAACGGTGTGGCAGACGTTGAGGGTTTTCTGACCAACGGGACGGACGAGGCGGGAATAGAACAGGCCAAGATAGTGTTCTCGGCGGAAAACCCGTCGTTGAAGAGGAGGGTCAGCTGAGCGTAAAGTCTTTTATGTATGCATATGTAGCGTTTGGATTGCCTTTTGAGTGCTAAGTTTGGAGTTGATGAAGAATGTGATGTGAATGACACGATGCAAAGGTGAATGTGGCACGAAGACACAAAGAGGCAGAAAGAGGCAAGCGGAGGAAGAAGGGGATGGGAAGAAGAAAAGCAGGAAGGGATCCGTATTATATGTAGGTAGACAGGCAGATAGTGCCTACTAACGTATGAGTCGTCTGGGCTGTCTGCTAAGATCCAATCCAACCTAAATGTGATGCCACACACACCAACTTACATCCATATCTTATACATACACCTACACACCTCCTTGTCCCGTCTCTGTGGGGGACTAAAACCAGGCAGATACAGGGGGGCCCCGAGCATCCCCGTACAGGCACAGTACAGTAGAGAGCATGGATCGTGCAAATGTGCCGTAATATAATGCGTTGCGCAAGCCATTGAGAGAAAATGTCTGAGAATGCTACGATCCATGATGCAGACGATGCTCCATAGTTGCCTGTTCCTCCTGTCGGATCCAGGCGATCCCTCCCGTTGATGGAAATTGGGGCGCGACGAGGGGCTGCGGTCTGCGCGAACACCGCGTAAAGTGGTTGCTGACCCCCTGCTAAACCCACTAAATTCGAGTCTAAGACCGCCGGGCTCCAGCGCACCACGGCCCCTGTCTCCAGGGCAGGGTGTGCTGCAACCACTACAGTTCAGCGGTGCCGCAGGTCCCATGGAAGAATTGCTTCCAGATGAGATCTCAAAGGAGAAAAGAATACATGACTGATCAATTGAGACAATGATATGCTCACTCTTAACTTGAGTTCATTTGAGACTGGAATGTTTAAGTTTAAGTGGTTTTGCTCAAAACCGGTCTAGCTGATCTTCCCCTCTTTCATCACTCTTTTAATTCTCGTAAGCTGAAGGTTAGTAGCCAGCCAACGGCAATTGACAAGAGCAAGTTTTCTAAATAGACACATAATGACAAGCTAAAGCATACCCGAACAGGGATTACAAGCCTAGGAATGGGTGAAACCACAAAGTGTGACTCATTGCGCGGGTCACCGACGAATGGTTAACAGCACATTGGGCATACAACATGCAACAACGCAGGGGGAAAACGATAGAGGACCGGGTTGGGCGACTTGGCGATCCATGGCGATAGATATCCTGCTCAGATGGCCTCGTGGTAGTTATACAGACAAATGTTTAATTGGTTAGGGGGATGAATTGAGCTTGAGCTCAAACTTGTGGTGGTGTGCAGCAAGCTCAAACTGAATGCATGTTTTAGCAGACTGACTACTTTGCTTGTGATGAGAAGAGAGAGATCAGAAAGAGCAAGGATCGGGGTCTCGAGGCCCAAGAATGAAAGAAATTGCAGCATGCAGCCGATCCGCCGAGGTTTGCTTTGCCTGTTTGCCTCTTGACGCTCAGCTGAGGGGTGTAGCCTAGAAAAAAGTTGGTGGTCGCAATCGGTCACGACGACGATGAAAAGCAGCAATTCAACGACCGCGAGAGCTTTGGAAGTCGGGAAAATTCTTGAGTATATGAAGTGTAGCTGAAACATTCATCTCTAGTAATTATGAAAGCTTTCATGGTCGTGTATCGCCCTCGATTCAATGTCTGGTCGTTATGGAGGGCATGAGATGAAGTGGGTGGGAGACGCGACGGGCGCGCAGTTGGTGGGACCTTGCTCAGACTCATCGGGACAGGAAATGGGAACGAAAGCACGTGAGGGGACCTCGTAGCCTGTCTCCACTCCGAAGTCATCTTTTCTTGTCCCCCTGAAATCCCTTGCTTCGCTTTGTGGCGCATGTTGGCGGGTCCCCTCCCTCTGCCACTCTACCACTCCGTCCGTTTACCAGATGGTCTAACGTTGAGTTTGGCTAATCCTCTTTCGGCACCGTTTGTTTACGTTGGCATCAATGGGGTTGTCGATGTGATTTGCTGGTCTTTGTTGAATCATTGGGGGCCTTTGCTTTGCTATCACAACTACAAAATAACCTGTGATGTACATGTCTTACTTGTCGTGCTGTCCAATATGTTGATTGAATTTACCATTTTGAGTTGGTATGAAACTGAGGTACACAGCAGCGACAAGCAAGTCAAAGAGTACTGTTGCCCGACAACTACTCCGTACTCCGTACTTGACTCGACAGTACAGATCTAAGTGAGCAGTCAAAAAAGCAAACGTACATACAGTAGCTAAGTAGACACTGCTAGAACATCTCGAAAAAGCAAAACTCTTGAGCCGATCACCCAATTTATCTCGATTGATAGTTAGGCTCTCGACTCGGAAATAATATTCATCCGGATCCGAAGTGCACTGCCCTTTGTATTCTTTCCCCGGGTAATGGATGTCTAGAAGAAGCTTGGACCATCATTATCCCCCCCAACCTCGCGCCTCAGCGGGCTCCCCCATTCCCTTAGCAATTTCTACCTACACTATCAATTTTCCCATTGATTGATCGATCCAAGCCGTTGCCTTAACAGCGTCTAACCATCTTCAGTCGCGTTGCCGCCTTGTAACCCATCGTTCTTTGTCACGTCGACAATTGCTCTATTTCCCTTGAATTCAGCATGAATAGTAAAAATTGGAATGACAGAGCTGACAAAGACTTGTTCTTTACTATTCTCTCTGTCAAAAACATTGGCGTCATAAGCGGCTCAGAATGGACCACCATTGGTAACCATATGAGGAGCCTGGGTTATGGCTTCACCAATGAAGGCTGCCGGTGAGTACTTGTCTCTTTATACTCCCGTTCTTGTCTATACCCAATGACTTTGCCATTCTTATAATCTCATCACATTTTACTCATCACGATGTATAATTCGTGCTGGTGGTCGTTACGCGTCAAGTTGGCTTATACCTGAGTCGTCCGTTTACATCCACTTATTATCTATCACACATCATCACATCCTTAACTCACCTCATATATACCAAAAACCCTACTCAACTCCATCCAACTTCTCAAATAACACAGACCTAACATGCATCCAGACAACATTTTCAGGGGCTTCGCAGAGCTCAGAATAAAGCAGAGACAGCCGGACCTAACGGCGATATCATACGCAGGAATGATCCGACTATGAATCCGATCACCCGTCGTCCTGGTCCTGGAAGAGGTCGGCCCAGGAAACAGCCTCCTGTTCCTGTTCCAGGAGCTGGAGAAATCCCCACCGATCAGCCCATGCCGGTTGGTATCGCTCCTGGGCCCAACCCCATAGCTCCCTACCCCCATCCTCATCCCCAGGCAGTCCAATCTTATGGTGTGCCGCCTGGCAACCATCAAGCTGGCGCTCATCTACCAGCTCAACCCGCTGCACAGCCTGGCAACATCTCTCCTGCGATTCCTACTCAACAAGTTCCTTCCCCCAGCAACGTACCTCATGTTCAGGGTCCGATAACTTACCCAAGCCCCCCTCGTGCCCCTGACACTCCCCAGGAGCCTGCTCATCTTCATCCTCTTCAGCATGCACAATCCGGTCAACCTGGCCAACAGCCTCAACCAGAACAGCAACCCCCGCCTGGCCAACAGCTCCAGTCAGAGTTTCAACCTCAACCAGATCAACAGGATGAACCTGATCAGGCTTCGCAACCAACTGCACAGCCTCAGCCAGAGCAGGAAAACTCAACTGAATACCAATCCCAGAATGTCTCCCAGGAAGCTCCTCGAGAGGCCCGTGAAGAAACCGATGCAAGTGCTGCATCTCACCATGCTCCAGTGGAGCAGAACGATGAGGACTCTCAAGCTGCTTTGACCTCGGAGCCTCTGCAACATCCCAACGAGGATATCGATGCTGATGGCGATGCTGATGGTGATGCCGATGCCGATGCTGACGCCGATGTTGATATTGACGTTGACGCTGACGCTGACGGCGAGGCGGATATCGATAATGATGAGCCGGCCGCTAAACGGCCACGGTTAAGTTCGCCTGAACCCCCCAAGGATACCGATATGGATGATGAAGCTGTCTTGGCCCTGGCAGCTCATAACGGGTCTACAGACTTTGCTTCCGAGTAAGTATTTGTCAACCTCTTCATTAATGATCTGTTAACTAATCCTCTTCAGTTTTGCTACTTATGGTGAGGCATAGCAACCGACTTTGCTTGTAGAATAACATTGATACCATGGGCATTGGCGTTAAAGAGTAGGAGCTTCTTAAATTTCCTTTGCATTTGCAAGGGGTGGGATAGAACTAAGCGAGCGAGGACTGTGTTTTTGGAGAAAGAACATTCTTGGTGCGTGTATAATATGAAAGAAAAAGGGCTGGGATGTAGCGAGCAGAAGAAAGACCTGGAGTCTCTTGGCTGAGAGCGTACATCATTTCTCTCGAATATGTCGAAATTTCAGTAGTAGATAGGACAGTAACAATGCCAGCCATGTAGAGTGTTTCTATTATCACTGATATCCGCAGTGCGAGGCAGTGCCTGAGATGCAGGTTTCCAGTCACTACGGTGGTGCTTGTGCTGGGACAATGACAGCCGCTACTTTCAGAGTATCTCTGTGCTATAAGGTTCATTGTTCTCTTTGGGGATATAAATTCATCTCACGATCGGTTCTACCCAGCTTTCTTCTCTTCCCACCACCATCACCCCTGACATCTGGACTCCCATCTGCATCTTCAACTTCAAATCTACCGAATCAATCAACGACAAACGATCTTCAAGATGCCCGGAAAAGCGAGTGATTGGGACAACGCCGAATTCCTCCTGGATCTCGTCGTTGGCCTCTACACTGGCGCTCAGGTCAGCGGGGGGTTGACTCCTCCGGTCAAGTCGTCTATTGAGGAGTATATCAAGGGGCGCGGATATACCACCTCTTTTGACGCTGTGCGGTAGGTGATAACATTTCCTTGCTTTGTCATTTGTGTTTATGCTTTGATTTTGATCGTTGAGCTGTCTTTCTGCTGTGCTGCTCTTGAAGTGATTCACCCTGATTCACTTCGAGGTTATGCCAGGCTATTCACATTTTTGTGCAAACATGGCCTCACTTTCCACTCCTCCACTCTGTTCTAAGCCTTAGGGCTCAGTGAGTACAAATATCCTCGCGGGGGATATCATCTTCTGTTGCTTCATCTTCTCGTCTCCTCAACTTCTCAACAACACTGAGCAAACTCCGTTCTTCTTCTTCCTCATCAACATCTTCAAAAGTCCCCTTCTCTATCCATTCCCTATCGTCGTCGCCATGGCCAAGCGTCAAGTCATGCAGTGGGATGCCAACGTCCATGAAGACATCCTCATCAGTCTCTTTCAACACATCAAGCCAAGTGCTGAAGACTGGAGCAACGTCATGGGTGATCTTCAACAAAAGGGCTATACCTTCACTGAGGGCGCTCTTCGGTACGATTTCTGACTCTGGCTTCTTTTTCCTGTTGCATATTGGTCACTGTTGTTTTCCCATCCCCCACTTTCATTCATCTCAACTTCCCCTCTCTTCTAACCTCTTCATCCTCTCTCTCATTTTTCCTTCTCCCTTCCCACATCTCAGACAATTCTTCTCTGAACATATTCTCATCTCTTCCTGTCTCTTCATTCAACATCTGGCATCAGTCATTCTCTGCCCAAACAATCCAACATATAAACCCTCTCGCGTTATCAAATCATCCATCATCAACGTCATGGCTCCCCGCGCTGCTGCTGCTCCTGCTGGTGCTGGTAAACCTGCTCGAGGCTGGGATGCGACCTCGCACGAGGATCTACTCCTCGCTCTTCTCGAAGAGATCAAGCCCAACAAGGCTGACCTTACCAACGTCGCCGCGAAGATGCGCAGCAAGGGCTACTCTTACTCCTACGACGCGATCAAGTACTTGTCTTTCTGTCTCTTGCGCACGCACAGTTTCAGAGGTCAGCAGCTAACATGTTTGTCTTTACAGCCAGCACGTCCAGAAGCTGCGCAAGAACCGCGACACCACTGCCATCCAGAACTCTGGTGGCTCCGAGAATGGTACTCCTCGCAAGCGCGCTGCTGGCGGTACGAAGACGCCTGCTAAGCGTACCCCATCCAAGCGTAAGGCCACTAAGTCTGCTTCCATCGTCGACGAGGACGAGGATCTGGAGGATGAGAAGATGCAGCTGAAGATGGAGACGGACGACGTGGAGGGGGAACTCATGTCCCCCAAGGGCGCTAAGCGCACTAAGTACGTTGAAATTCACCAAGTCAACTTCCATGTTCTTTACTGACTGTCTCATAGGTCCGAGCCCGAGGACGAGGTCACTGTTGGTGAGATCTAGGTCCGAATTTCTTCTACCTTGTGAGTTGATGTCCAAATACTTTTTACATATGTTCTCGGCTAATTGACCAACAGTCTAGCTTCCACGGTCAAGGGATTCGGAAGTTGAGTCTTCGACGGATGATGAACATTGGAGTGGTGATCAACAGGCGTATGCCTATCGCAGAGAAATAGGGGTAAAACTAGGCTAGGATGGTTTCCATGTGCCTTGGATGTTACGATGAGAGATTTGCCATTTGAGGGCAATATTACGAGCATGTCTCTGCGATGAATTGACAGATACCACCCGTCCTTTTCTCTTTTTTGTGTAGTCTATCGTAATATCGTGAAGTGTTGATGCACATGTCCCATGTCCCGAGCATCCCTTGCGCATCTACACTTTTGCTGAGTACTCATCGAGATCTCCTCTGGTACTCACTAAAAGCTTTACGATATTGGCAAAGTGCATACGGTACACCTATAGACTGTTTCTAATCGATGCTTGTTGAGTAATCTCCATGTTTGATTCCGATTCTCGTGACCATTGCCATGGGATGCTTAAAATTTGAACTCTACTGTATATGCGATATTTGTAGATACTTCAGTTTCGAAATTCTCTAGATAAATCAGTATCAGAATGACCACAACTGCGTGGCTGTGTTGGCGTCGTCAGTCATTATGTTACTAGGCAGATGAATCAAGCGCTTCCACCAGTTGCACGGCCACACGCAGGCTTTATCCCCCAAGATGACTCTCTTTTTTCCTTCACTGAGGCTTTTCTACCCTCTGACGATTTTCCGTTCACTCTTCAGAATCACTCTTTTTCTACCATCCACCACTCTTCCATCTTTTCCCTCCACACTTTTCATCCACTCCTCTTCTCCTTACATACTGCACCTCCATCCCTCATCCCCAGGGCAACATCCTTTACTCTACATCAAAACATTCTCTCATCTACTAAAATGCCTCCCTCTGAGAAGAAGTGGGATGCCAATGCTGAGCGTGATCTGTGCGTCGCTGTGATCATGGGGGCTCAGGACGGTGAGCGCATGCGCTTCAACTGGCCAAAGGTCCATGCCTCGATGGCAGCCCTTGGTTATTCCTTTACCAAGGACGCCATCTCGTAAGTCTCACCATACTTTCTCATATCTTTATCATATTTTTCTTCCCTTAAGGGCCTTGGGCCTCCCATCGCATAGCCATATTCATCACGGCCAGATACTTACCAGCGACAGTCAGCATTTCAGCAAGTCCATCATGCGCGACTTCAAGGGTCGACATGGCGATCCTGCCAACAGCGCTCCTACTGCTACACCCAAGAAGGCTGCTACCCGCCGTAAGCGAGCGACTCCTTCTAAGAAGAAGATCGAGAACTTGGACGAAGAGGACGATGATGCAGAGACAATGGTCGGATCTCCTGTCCATAAGAAGATGAAGCACAAGAACGAGGACGACGATGAGGATCTCAAGACATCCGTTGGTATCCAGGGCAAGCCTGGGGGTAGGTATGTTCGACTGGTATGCATGTCTTGATACAAATACTCATATTCTCATAGCCTTTCTCCTGCTGAGAAGGAAGCCAAGTTTGAAAACTGGCTCGCCAATGTTGACAGCGCTTAGACACTGCTGCAAGTCTATCATGAAAGGGCGGATATCTGAAGGGCTGGTAATGTCGAGGCTTTAGATGCTATTGATAGGGGGCGAGATAATAGGGGGAGATTTACAGCCCCGGAGAACTGGATTGATAGCCCTCGCAACATGAAATTCACTTTGATTTCCTACTACGCATCTCACCTGCACACCGATAATTCCCATGTGATACGGCAGTCATTTTCTGCTTCTTTTAAAGGCTTCTCGCGGAGGAATCCTCATTGCGACTTTCGACTTAGATCGCGATGCTCACTAGGTAGCTGTCCACCCATAGTCACTTTTTTCTCAAATCCAGTAATTTCCTGTTTGCATGACTATCGAGAAGGCCAATTCTGTCTGCAGTCACCTTCTGAAGGCATTAAAAGTTCGATTCCTAAGGTGTCATGTATTTGTCCTACGCAAAGCCACTTTGCTTTATGAAGGATGATGGACTCTATTCAAGGCCAACGTTTCTTGTTTCTAGATCTTGAATGTACGTAGTCTCTACTGTGTTGATTTTTGGAACGGCAGTAAGATGGTCATGCGCATGCGGATGCCTTGGGACGTGTATCAATATGACATGTTCTGCATGGCTTTCAGTGTCTCCAATCTTTCATGCCAAATGCTTTTCGTTACTCGTCTGCGAGTGAGTGCAAGAAGATTGAGACCAAAGGAGGTTTCTCAGTGAAAAGAAGAAAAAGGACAGCGAGTGATCATTCATTGAAAGTCAAACATCTTGAGGCGTAACTTCATGGCTCTGATCGCATGAGACTCGTATCTTGCAAATGTCCATGTTTATTCATTCCTGTTGGCATCAGTCACTCACACGGGATACAATGACAGACTGCCCAGTATAAGTCAAACCAAGCTCTAAATTACGTTGCCCTACCACCCAAACGCCAGTCCAATTCATTGCATTGTCCTTGTTCATCGTGGCCGTCGGCCGTCGAGTCTGTTTCCTTCGCTGGTACCCTTCTTCTCGGGGGCCTTGGTCTTGTCGTCTCCTTCTCCCTTTCTCTTGACGGCACCTCGAAGTGTCTGGCCTTGGCCAGCAAAGTGAGGCCTGTTGGCGTTCTCCTTCTCCTCTTCCTTGTCGGCGTCCGTCTTGACCGGCTTGATCTCGTATCCGAAGAAAAGCTTGTTAGGTGGTAGACGGAGAGCTGCTGGAGCACCATCACGCCTCCTAGGCATTCCTGAAATCTCCACCGTAGGGACCGGAGTAGCTGGCTTGGGTGTTGGAGCCTTGCTGCCCTTCTTGGCAAGCTTTTGACCCTCTCCGAGAAAATTCGTCACATTGCTTGTCACTGATGGAGCAATAGCGCTGTAGTTGATGGCTTGCGCCATGGTTCCTTGGTTGTGTAGCAGGCCTCCAGCAGGAACGCCACCTCGCGTGCTTCTTGGGGTGCTGGTTCCGCTCTGGCGCTCAGGTTCGACGTAGCCGACTGGGGGTGCGAATTCGACTGACACGTCGGTCTCTATCATACTGACTCCCATCTTGTCCGTCTCGGGCTTGACATCGAGAACGGCCACATCATAGACTTCATCGTTGTAGGCGAAATTGAAGACATCACCCTTGGTAAGGGTGGCAAAATTGCGGAAAGCCTTCTCCAGCACTGCCTTGGGATCACTAATCTCAAGGAAGTTGACGGATTGAGGCTGTAGCTTGACCATCTTGGCCAGCTCCAATGATGTGGTACGGACCTGGATCATGTCGCCAACGTCCATGCCAAGAGTTTCCATCATCTAGTGAGTGTTAGTGACAAGACCTTTCAATAGTACAGCGTCTCTCCATACCCATTGAGGAATGTATGCTCGGCCTTCCTCCGCAATGAACTCTAGCACACCCGCATGTGAATGTCTGCCTTTCTCTCCGTTGATCAACTCCATGAGCAAAGGCCACTGCACATGAAGCTTCGACACCTTGTCGAGAGCGGACGGTGGCAGAATTATCTTGGAACCGTAGTTGAGTTCTGGTCGTTCAGCTCCGGGGGCCATGACTAGAGGATAGCATCGATAGTATTCGTCAAATCGTTGCACAATGGGTCGTCGTCCATGGCGGGCCATGTTGTAGAGGTGGTCGGGGTTAGCGGGGTCAAACCCACCGCCGAAGCCTGAATACTGCGTGTCCTTTAGCGAACCGAATTATAAGACGAGGCATGATGGCTTACCATGGCGACAATAGTTCGTTGGTTCGCAGTCGCTTTAGGGATCTCGTGAGTGCAGGACTTGAAGATATAGGCGGTCAGGAAGCAAATCGGCTTCCTTGAAAAGATGCGCTGTTTTCTTACGCTTCTGAAAAGAAACGTGCGTCTTAAGTAGTCGGAGGGAGGATGGTGGTGATTCACAGTTGCGAGGTTGAAATGTTTACAGGATGAGCTTCCATCAACTTTCGTTGAAGATCCAAAGCCACAGGTAACGTGGGGCCCGTGGAGGCTACAGAGGCAGCTCTTGATGACGCAGTTTGGTTTGTCAGGGACTCGGGCAAAGGCACTAGGTACGGGGTAGGTAGTACAGTGCTATACCATTTAGATAGCTTAATAAGGCACCTCACTTGTTTTTAAAACATTTAATTCCAAACTCAAAATAAAAAAAAGTATAAAAAAAACTCTGATAAGTACTCAAACACATGTGGTACTGAATTTAAAGCCCTGCTATTGCTATTAATTGTACTGCCGATTGTCCCTACTTAAGACAGGTACTTGATAAGGTACTGTATGTCCTCCCAAGTTCAGGTACCCGTCAACTAACATCAGCCCGGTGGAGCTGATTGCCCCAACCAGAATAGCGAGTTCTGGAATCCATGCTCAAAAGTCTAAAACATACATATAAGCTCCATCAAGCTTTCTTCATCTTTTCACTTTGCATGCCCAATTTAAGCAATCCTCACTTTGACTAATACCCTGCTAATCCCCATACTCTTGGCACTCAACAAATCAATCAATAGTGGCCATGGCGTCACGATATTCGGCAGCGCGGCCGAAGCGCGACGGCGAGAACTTTGCGCGTACCCATCATAACGAAGACGGCGGCGATTCTAAGAGAGTCAAGTTTGACGTTCGAAATCCCTCCACGCTTGCGCCTGACGCGCGCGAAGAAGATGCTATCCTCGATGCCGATGTCATTGGTGTATCTGGAGCTACGAAGCGTGGAGCTGTCAACCTCGACGGTTATGATAGTGATTCAGATAACGAAACCTTCAATGCACGCGCCGAGAACCGCAAGCGAGGCAAAGTCGACATTCTTGAACAGCTCGACAATTACGACGCCACCAATCATGACCCTTCAGCACCAGGTACTGCGGCTGGTGATGATGATGACGACGACGATGACGACGATATGTTTGCTGCGGACGATGCTGGTGGGGAAAAGGAGATCCCCGAGGAGGGAGACTTCGATAAAAATGGTCGCAAGAAGGACAAAGTTCGGTTCCTGGATGCGGATAAAATCGAAGGCGTGGAGAACACCAGCAGAGACAAGGGAGGCATCCGACTCGACGATGAAAGCAGCGACGACGAGGCAGATATAGACCTAGCCATACAAGAAGAGGGCATCGATGAAGAGGTCGGGGCTGGAGGTCTCAAGAAGAACGCCCCCAAAGTCGAAGCATTCAACCTGAAGCAAGAAATGGAAGAGGGTCAATTCGACCAAGATGGCAACTACGTTCGCAAAGGCGGCGACCCTGACGCCGTACACGACAACTGGTTGGAAGGTCTCAGTAAGAAGGAGATGAGAAAGGCAGCTGCCGCGCATGAGAAGCGCGAGGCTGAGGCGCGAAAGCAACGCCTAGAGGACGACGAGATCCTCGTGTCAGATTTGCTCAAGACTCTGATACTCAATCTCGAGCGCGCTGAGACGCCACTCGAGGCTCTAGCCCGACTCGGCAAAAAGCAAACAAAACCTAAAAGGATCCCGAAGTGGAAGCTCAAGAAGATGAACAAGGGTGCTGAAGGCATGGAGGTTGATGGCGGTGAGAACATTGAGGATGCGGAGCAAAAGAAGATCAAGGCATCAATTGATGCCATCACAGAAGCTGCAGATAAGCTGTTGAGCCGGGATCATGAGGAGATTTACGAACAAGAGAGAGAGCTCCTCATCCGAGCATATCGTAAGGAGACAGGAGAGGACTGGGTGGAACCAGAAGCTTCAGGGACAAACCAGGATGAGCAGGCAGCGGTGAAGCCGGGAACAATGTGGGAGTTCCGATGGATAGACGGACGCGATGGAAACGGCAGTCAAGGGCCATATGACGGGGCCACAATGAAGGCGTGGAAGGATGCTGGGTACTTCCCAGAGGGAGCGGTCGAGTTCCGAGCGGTTGAGGAGGGCCGCGAGTGGTCTTTACATGTCGATGCTTTTGAGTGAAGGCATGACAACGGGATGGGATGTCAGCCGAGAAACAAACTTAAGGTAGTGCGGGCTGAACAGATATCTGGTGTGGCCCAGCCCCTGTCTCTATCGCAGAATGATTGGCAACGAGCGAGTCTCAGCTTAAAAGGGCATCTGCAGCGGCCTTTCCCATGTTCCGGAGATGGACATCCGCTGGCTCATGTTCTTGTATGGATGCTCTTACAACCAGTCATATGTGTACAGGGTCAAGAACAAAACGGGCTGTAAGTGGGCGTTTCAACCCCCGACGACATGATGGTGAGTGGATCCCGTTTCACGTCAAGTACCTACAGCCTGCACGGGAAAGACTGCATGGCACAGCTAGCTTCGGGTCTGCGGCTCCGGATCTGAAGACAATATTGAAAATCAAGTTATCTTATTAGATGGACACGGTCGCGATGATCATGAGGCCCGACGAGGCTTGGCCGCTGACTGGGTCATGTTTCCACAAAGGTCAAGGGTCGAGAATCATGATGGTGCATGATGGTGCCGCGGGAAGATGACGAAAGAGGGAAGCTAAATGCCAAAAAAGACCACCAAAGGTTTGGAAAGACCCATGATAGATGGACATGATAGGGCATACTGTGGCAGGTCGTTCCTGGGGATCCCGAAGTGCGCCGGGAACGGGTGAGGCCGGGCGAGTGGGATCTCGAAAAAGAGGCTGAAAAGCCGGGGCAGGGAGTATGGAGTAAGATAATGGAGACATCTGGGGAGAATGATGGGGTTGTATGGGGTTATACGGAGGGACGGACGAGGTTGGAACCTACCATTTGCCCCTGGCATGCGAGGCTTGAGCCGATCCAAGCCCGTGATCCCGTGATGCTCCGGTACGTGGAGCGGGAGCCGGGGCGGCAGCCGTAGCCGAACGGCCAAGCACCGAGGGAGCAGGAGGTTGAGTCCCGGAGACGAACGGGCTAGATCGGAGGAGCAGGGATTGTTCGGGAATGATGTATGTCAGAAGTTGCATCTCAGTATGTAAGTGAATTGTAAGGGTTCGGGATCTATTCGACGACGAGTTTTTGTACGTAACATGATGAGGGCCTATGTGGGCTTGGCCTTGAAATCATGTCGATCAAGGTAAGGTATCTCGGCATTGTTGCTATCAGTAGTATTGGGTGATTCGAGTAATGCCAGAAGGATCGATATCATGAACTGATATTGCAATGCGTATGTATCTTTGGACGTGCTGTACTGGATGTAGCTAGTCCAGGTCCATGTCAGATTAGCACTGGATTCGCTCAAGGATCACGGTGGAGGATAGGAAGAGACAGGGCAGGGGTTCGGTCAGCCCCGGTGGACTCAGGTCAGGAGAGGTTCGATCTCAGGCGAGGAATCTCGGTGAGATTTCAAGATAGATACATAATGACAGTCAGTATCGACGAATATGAGACCATAAGGGTCCGTGATTTTATGGGATTGTAGGCACGATGTGATAGGGCTCTGGCAGATTCAGGGTCTCCATTTTTGGTGATTGGAAACAGATGCTGGACACACCCAGGGGTCTCGACAAAGGCCCGATGTCAGATAAGCGGATTTCGTTTTGGCGATGGAATTGACATTACAGATGGCATGGCATGGACTGGTCTGATCCGATGTGATGTAGTAGAAGAGGACAACATAAGGAGAAGCGAATACAGTCGGTCCGCGGAAGCTCGTGGCCTACCAACGGGCCGACAGAGGCCCTGTTTTCGATGAGTTCATGTTTGAGCTGGGCTGAACTGAATTGGGTGAGTCTATTAGTTGAGCTGTTTTTGTTCCATCATGATACCTCTCAACAATTGTTACCTCACCGAAAGAGAGGTGAGGGTAGCGTGAAATAGTACGAGGTCAATATTGGCTACCCTATTGCTTAGATTTTGGAGACAGGCATATCTAGCTAAAGCTGGTAAAAGTAGGGCATCCTTAACTAGAACAACTGACACGATGAGCTGCAACAGCTGGTTATAATCGTATTATATCATGTTTACATGTTGATATCGAGTCAACGCTCTGACTGAACAGAACCCCCGCGACTCAAAGACCGAGAACGTACAGCTCCGCCACATTGCGTAAAAGACGCAACACAAGCTGTAAAAACCCGCAGCTAGATTCGAGCGAAGATCAGGCACTAAGCCTCATTCAGTGTCACCGTCTCGGTGGTGAATCTTCTAGCTCAATTAAGGTGACTCCGGTATAAGTGGGCAAAGCATTGGATACGTAAATAGGAAATTAAAAACATTTGTCGTCGTGGAGATAGGCATATCGAAAGACGAGATGGAAACAAGACACGTTCACAAAGGATTGGATTCATACGAGAATTGCCTGGTAGCGAGGACTCGGAACCGTACGACTCGTTTGTGATCGGTGAACAAGGCGAACCGAGCTTTCAATATGTCGAGCGAGGGACGTGCATATTCATCGGCGGCGGCGGCGGTGGCAGCTGTTCACGATGAAACCAAGATAGAAGCATGTTATTATTATGGGTTGGTAAAGTGAGTGAGAATGGATAGGACAGGATAGGATAGGATAATATGGCGGCAAATAGCTAGGGGAGCCAGGGATTGCATTGTAACTTTGCGGCGTAAAACCTATAGATCTCATCGTACCGTATGTACAGTAAGGAAAGGTAGCCAGCCCAAGATGATGAGGCGTTCATGTCCACTATAACCGGAGGCTCCGGAGTCCGGACAGAGATGGGATTGTGTGAAAACATCTGATCTGATCGACAAGTGACGCATTCCTTGGATAATCAACTATCGAATTTGCTGTCTGTCCTGTCCATCACGGAGAGTTGCACGGTAGAATGCGGTGGCTTGTTCGGCGGCACCTACAGAAATATCAAGGATGAACGTGGACTTGGACGTGGACGGGCGAGCGATGGAATCAACAGAGAGTGGCACCTCATGCATGCATCCATCCATGGAGGGGTAGAAAAGATACATGGTTTTGGGAGGGAGGGGCATATTGCAGGGAGGTAGCTTTTCAGGGCATCACCCCACCACGAAGCTCTCATCAGTGGCGGGGTCTGAGACATGATGAAGCTGAGGGCAGTACAGACGGTGACTGAGTTGCTATCTATAGGTACCTAGTATTATGGATATGGATTTGTAAGTCCAGAGAAAGAATGTAATGCCTTAACTAAGAAGTAGAGCCATACCCAGCAACAAGGCTGTGAATTGGTCATGATGGCCTTGACTGACTGAGCTAACGTGAGAGAGAAAAAAAAAGAGCTCCCACCCTCTCATCCCATATTGAATGTTCCATTGGCCCCTGCTGTTATGATACACTAGGTAGTCTACTGTATGTACTGTACCCCCCGGGCAACAGGGGTGTATGTTCGTGGGATGATTGATGATGTGGTGTTGGTGGTTTAAAAGTGGGTTGGTTGCTAATGGTACGGATAGACCAGAGCATATTCTGATGAGAGAGCACAGGGAGGATGAGTGAATAAGGTAAGGCAAGGCAATCCAATGTCCGGGAATTCATATATGTACCTCTACTCCCACTCCCACTGCTCTTCTCTTCTCTTTCCTTTCATTCTCATCATCCTCAGCTTCATAGCAACAACTTCCACTACAAACTTCTTGGTATGTGAACAATTTACCCCTCCATCTCCATCATCACCATCACCACCACGCATCAGTATCATAACATGATGATGATGCATTGCTTTGCCTCTCAACTTCTCCTCTCGCCTCTCCACCAGCAAAACAGATTGTCATGTCATATCATATCTGCATTCGATCCAACATAATGAGAAGACGATACGACGACACGTCAATCGATATGGGTGATGGATTGGTTGGCATTGATTGGCATGGATGACACGGGCAAAGCATGGCATGGCATGGCATGGCATTGGTGTTGCTATAGAGAGGGGAACAGACGAGACAGACAGACAGACAGACAGACAGACAGGCTGGAGGGAGAACTCCTTTTGGGGCATTGAGCTCTGTAATTCAGAGCTCTACCCTCCTGTCTCTTGTCTCTCTGCCTCTCTGCCTGTCTCTCTCTCTTTCTAGCCTCATCTGCTTGGCCTGCCCCTCCTTTGCACCGACGTTCCAATTCCAATTCCAGTCCACACCCACTTCTAGTCTACTTGCTCTTTCCCTCCATGTGCTGTGGCAACCTTCCTCAGCAAAAAAAAAAAAAAGCTCCCTGTTCCACTCAAGCTCTCGTCATACAGTTATAAATTACCCCACCCCCTCTCTCTCTCACCTCAACCTCAACCTCATCCTTCTCTTCAGCTCTTCTCTCTTCTCCATCTCACTTCATCTATCTTCGTCCTAAGGATATCTCATCTGACTCTTGTCTCAAACAGAAACTACCATTTCTTCCACAATAATCAAAATGGCTCCCATCAAGGTCGGCATCAACGGTTTCGGTCGTATCGGCCGTATCGTCTTCCGCAACGCCGTCGAGCACCCCGACATCGAGGTTGTTGCTGTCAACGATCCTTTCATTGAGCCTCACTACGCCGTAAGTAGACCCCCCTGCGAGCTCGTTCGATACTACAAACAAGCTACAAACAACCCACTCCTCGGGAGGTTGTCGCTTTGTCACGACTCTTTTAAATCCGCGTCGTATTTCGGCTGGAGCTTGCAACTCACCGCACAACATCGTCCATAATACGGATTGTGGCGGGTCATGTAAATGGCACCGCGAGCTGTTGCCAGCTTCATGTCATGGCATGGTGCCAGAAAGCAAAGCTCACTCGAGCAATGCTTCATGTCCCACCAAGCTACCCCTCACTGCCCCACGTCCCATACCATATCACATTCAGCTTTGAGCCTCAAGCTAACCTCAACTCCCTTGCGCAGGTCTACATGCTCAAGTACGACTCTTCCCACGGTATCTTCAAGGGTGAGGTCGGTAACGATGGCAACGACCTTGTCGTCAACGGCAAGACTGTCAAGTTCTACTCTGAGCGTGACCCCGCCAACATCAAGTGGTCCGAGACCGGCGCCGACTACGTCGTCGAGTCTACTGGTGTCTTC